GTTCGTTATTACCGTAGTTCGTTATAAGCATGTATACAGCATAACTACAGCAAATAGTCGGGACCAAAAAAGTAAGTTCGTTATATCCGTAAGTTCATTATAAACGTGTTCGTTATAACCGTAGTTTACTGTAATATAACCTCTGCCAGACTGCTCTACCTTCATCCGTCTGATTATGTATCCAGTCTTGTGTTGGTATTTCCGTAGTGTAAATGTGGTCTTACTGACTGACATTAAATATTAACATTAACGGTTGCCTCGTTAACATGCTAACTAGAAAGGTTTGATATTCAGTCGTAGATACGGTCCTCCAGAAGCTCTGATACCCAGGACCCTTCACCTTTGCGAGGCAAGGGAGCTAACTGACTATACAAGTCCATCTTCACGAGACAAGGGAGTTAACTGACTATAAAAGTCCGTCTTCCCAAGTCAAGGGAGTTAACTGACTATTAAAGTCCATCTTCCCGAGACAAGGGAGTTAACTGACTATAAAAGTCCATCTTCCCAAGTCAAGGGAGTTAACTGACTATGAAAGTCCATCTTCCCGAGACAAGGGAGTTAACTGACTATAAAAGTCCACACTTTTAAAAGCATACATTACAATTTAATCAAACTCAAGTCTAAAATGATTAGGCAAGTCTAGATTTCCTCAGCTCTGGACCAGAAATTAAGCATTGTTCTGGGGTCCATTTGGATTTTACTTTTTATTTTGTAGATATATATGTTTAAATAGGGTAACTTTATATCTATGAATAAATGTGAATCACCCCATAACACATTACAAGCCGACTGAAATAGATCGGTGATCGTTCTTGGCGACTTTATTGATAGTGTGTGTTCTTGCCCCGGTAGTGTTAACACTCACGCTTTCAGTCACTGGTTCACGTGGTCGGTGCTATACTGCTGACACATCACAGTGATACATCTTCCCGAGGAAAGGGCATAAACTGGTCTTTTATAGTCAGTTAACACCCTTGCCTCGGGAAGATGCCGTGATATAGCTATGATATAGCTCAAAGCGTCGTAAAACAACATTAACTCACTCGCTCTTTGTATTTCCCGCATATTCTCACAATCCTCAAGTCGATCATCTGTACCTTTTCTCCTGATACCGTTTGTCATATCTCACCCACTTCTGGATACGGTCGCAGCCCAGCTACATCTATGGGGGACAATTTACTTGACACTTACCTCTCAAAATTTACGTCGTCCACTATGCGACGTCATCAAGTTGCGAGCACATGTTCAAATCTCCAGAAATGACGTCATGATGGACGATCTGTTTTATCGTCAAATAAACCACGCTTCGTTCTACATTGTTCTTTGCGATTTATCGCGAAGCGATCTTACATTACCCGATACAACGAACGGAAGTTTATTATCGCCTCGTTATAACGAGTTCGTTTGCTATTCATACACATGTTTACGCTGATTACCGGAGCTGGAAGTAAATGTCAAGGTCGAATGTGAAGCCATTCAGAAAATAAGCGTCCTGTCACCAGGCACGAAGCATGGGAACAACTTAAATATGCCTATTGCAATATTTTAGGAGCGCTTCTATAGTTCATGCCCACACCCGTCTTCAAATGGGGATGACCCATGAAAATCCGGAGAAGAATAGGTCTTCAGCAAACCATCCTTGCCGAGAATGTCTGGTTCAGACTCGATTATTTACAGACCGCCGTCATATAGCTGGAACATTGCTGGAACAAATGAGCTCGGCATTAAGGGGCTAAAACAAGGACTGGTCGGCTCGGAGTCAGTATACTGTGTCTGAGCGGCGCTCGACATTAAGGGGCTAAAACAAGGACTGGTCGGCTCGGAGTCAGTATACTGTGTCTGAGCGGCGCTCGGCATTAAGGAGCTAAAACAAGGACTGGTCGGCTCGGAGTCAGTATACTGTGTCTGAGCGGCGCTCGGCATTAAGGAGCTAAAACAAGGACTGGTCGGCTCGGAGTCAGTATACTGTGTCTGAGCGGCGCTCGGCATTAAGGGGCTAAAACAAGGACTGGTCGGCTCGGAGTCAGTATACTGTGTCTGAGCGGCGCTCGGCATTAAGGGGCTAAAACAAGGACTGGTCGGCTCGGAGTCAGTATACTGTGTCTGAGCGGCGCTCGGCATTAAGGAGCTAAAACAAGGACTGGTCGGCTCGGAGTCAGTATACTGTGTCTGAGCGGCGCTCGGCATTAAGGAGCTAAAACAAGGACTGGTCGGCTCGGAGTCAGTATACTGTGTCTGAGCGGCGCTCGCGGCATTAAGGGGCTAAAACAAGGACTGGTCGGCTCGGAGTCAGTATACTGTGTCTGAGCGGCGCTCGGCATTAAGGGGCTAAAACAAGGACTGGTCGGCTCGGAGTCAGTATACTGTGTCTGAGCGGCGCTCGGCATTAAGGGGCTAAAACAAGGACTGGTCGGCTCGGAGTCAGTATACTGTGTCTGAGCGGCGCTCGGCATTAAGGGGCTAAAACAAGGACTGGTCGGCTCGGAGTCAGTATACTGTGTCTGAGTGGGGTATTCATGTTAAACTGCGGCATGGTATCTCAGTGAGCTGGCACTATAACGCGGCATCAGTTCGGACTAGTACAAGAAGCCACACACACACACACACGTGCATGTACGACGCTATATAATCTTGGACGCGACGTTAAACCCAATGTCACCTCGTACCATTAATAAAACTTTCTTAGTAAAGTACAGATTCTAGTACTTTTGGGGGTTGAGTCGGACTTTCATTTTTGTGGAAGTCTCGGTGGACGAGTGGGTTAGATCGCTGACTTTGTGTGCTGGCGATTAGGTGCCTCTCTCTGGCAGCGGGGGTTCGAATCCCAGATGGGTACTAGAATCTGTACTTTACTAAGAACTGTCATCCCAAATATGACATTTGACCTCTTTCTAGATGGCATTGTGTTTTCATTGCTTTCGGCCATGCCATCAAGTACACTATCCTTGTACACAGACCGATGTCGGTAAGAAATCCAGTACACTATCCTTGCACACAGACCGATGTCGGTAATAAATCCAGTACACTATCCTTGCACACAGACCCATGTTGGTAATGATTCAAGTACACTATCCTTGCACACAGAACGATGTCGGTAATAAATCAAGTACACTATCCTTGCACACAGACCCATGTTGGTAATGATTCAAGTACACTATCCTTGCACACAGATCGATGTCGGTAATAAATCAAGTACACTATCCTTGTACACAGACCCATGTTGGTAATAAATCAAGTACACTATCCTTGCACACAGACCCATGTCGGTAATGATTCAAGTACAGTCGGACTTTCATTTTTGTGGAAGTCTCGGTGGCTGAGTGGGTTAGATCGCTGATTTTGTGTGCTGGCGATTAGGTGCCTCTCTCTGGCAGCGGGGGTTCGAATCCCAGATGGGTACTAGAATCTGTACTTTACTAAGAACTGTCATCCCAAATATGACATTTGACCTCTTTCTAGATGGCATTGTGTGTTCATTGCTTTCGGCCATGCCATCAAGTACACAGTCCTTGCACACAGACCAATGTCGGTAATAAAGTCAGTACACTATCCTTGCACACAGACCGATGTTGGTAATAAATCAAGTACACTATCCTTGCACGCAGACCGATGTTGGTAATAAATTAAGTACACTATCCTTGCACACAGACCGATGTTGGTAATGAATCAAGTACACTATCCTTGCACACATACCCATGTTGGTAGTAAATCAGGTATACTATCCTTGCACACAGACCGATTAATAAATTTAGTACACTATCCTTGCACACAGACCGATGTCGGTAATAATTCAAGTACACTATCCTTGTACACAGACCGATGTCGGTAAGAAATCCAGTACACTATCCTTGCACACAGACCGATGTCGGTAATAAATCAAGTACACTATCCATGCACACAGACCCATGTTGGTAATGATTCAAGAACACTATCCTTGCACACAGAACGATGTCGGTAATAAATCAAGTACACTATCCTTGCACACAGACCCATGTTGGTAATGATTCAAGTACGCTATCCTTGCACACAGATCGATGTCGGTAATAAATCAAGTACACTATCCTTGTACACAGACCCATGTTGGTAATAAATCAAGTACACTATCCTTGCACACAGACCCATGTTGGTAATAAATCAAGTACACTATCCTTGCACACGGACCCATGTCGGTAATGATTCAAGTACACTATCCTTGCATACAGACGGATGTTGGTAATAAAGTCAGTACACTATCCTTGCACACAGACCGGTGTCGGTAATGATTCGGGTGACCAGTGAAGGTCCGTGTTAGAATAGGTCTTCAGCACAGGGGACTCCAAATCTCGTCAGTCCTCAGTTATCGCGTGAACTACATAAAAAAAGTTGATCTCCTTCCTTGGATCCTGTGCAAAGGTGACTGGACAAGGTGAGGTCGCTTAGTAGAAAGTGTACACTATTTGTCTACCTTGCCTTCTAAATACAGGCCCGTGAAGGTCCGGTTACAATAGGTCTTCAGCAGCCTATTCATGCCGTAAAAGGCGACTATGTTTGTCGAAAGAGGCGATTAACGGGATCGGATGATCAGGCTCGCTGACTTGGTTGATGCATGTCATCGTATCCCAATTGCGTAGATCGATGTTCATGATGCCAATCAATGGATTGTCTGGTCTGGACTCGATTATTTACAGACCCCCGTCATATAGCTGGTGTATTGTTGAGTGCGGCGTGACCGCTCGGTCGGCTGTTACGTCAAGCATGGATTACTTGAAACATGATCCGCCGAAGTATGATCTAGGACTTAAGAATGGGGTCTCGTGTTAAACTGTGTTCTGAAATTTGATAACTTGCATCACTGTGTTGTGTATCAGAACCTCTGATTATTTTGACGTCCCATCCAGTACTGTCCCCGTCCGGGCTCGATCTCAGCATGCCGACGCCCATCCACTACTGTCCCCGTCCCAGCTCGATCTCAGCATGCTGACGCCCATCCACTACTGTCCCGGTCCCAGCTCGATCTCAGCATGCCGACGCCCATCCCTACTGTCCCCGTCCCAGCTCGATCTCAGCATGCCGACGCCCATCCACTACTGTCCCCGTCCCAGCTCGATCTCAGCATGCCGACGCCCATCCACTACTGTCCCCGTCCCAGCTCGATCTCAGCATGCCGACGCCCATCCAGCACTGTCCCCGTCCGGACTCGATCTCAGCATGCCGACGCCCATCCACTACTGTCCCCGTCCCAGCTCGATCTCAGCATGCCGACGCCCATCCACTACTGTCCCCGTCCGGACTCGATCTCAGCATGCCGACGCCCATCCCTACTGTCCCCGTCCCAGCTCGATCTCAGCATGCCGACGCCCATCCACTACTGTCCCCGTCCCAGCTCGATCTCAGCATGCCGACGCCCATCCAGCACTGTCCCCGTCCCAGCTCGATCTCAGCATGCCGACGCCCATCCACTACTGTCCCCGTCCCAGCTCGATCTCAGCATGCCGACGCCCATCCCTACTGTCCCCGTCCCAGCTCGATCTCAGCATGCCGACGCCCATCCACTACTGTCCCCGTCCCAGCTCGATCTCAGCATGCCGACGCCCATCCACCACTGTCCCCGTCCCAGCTCGATCTCAGCATGCCGACGCCCATCCACTACTGTCCCCGTCCCAGCTCGATCTCAGCATGCCGACGCCCATCCACTACTGTCCCCGTCCCAGCTCGATCTCAGCATGCCGACGCCCATCCCTACTGTCCCCGTCCCAGCTCGATCTCAGCATGCCGACGCCCATCCACTACTGTCCCCGTCCCAGCTCGATCTCAGCATGCCGACGCCCATCCAGCACTGTCCCCGTCCGGACTCGATCTCAGCATGCCGACGCCCATCCACTACTGTCCCGGTCCCAGCTCGATCTCAGCATGCCGACGCCCATCCAGCACTGTCCCCGTCCCAGCTCGATCTCAGCATGCCGACGCCCATCCCTACTGTCCCCGTCCCAGCTCGATCTCAGCATGCCGACGCCCATCCACTACTGTCCCCGTCCCAGCTCGATCTCAGCATGCCGACGCCCATCCACCACTGTCCCCGTCCCAGCTCGATCTCAGCATGCCGACGCCCATCCCTACTGTCCCCGTCCCAGCTCGATCTCAGCATGCCGACGCCCATCCACTACTGTCCCCGTCCCAGCTCGATCTCAGCATGCCGACGCCCATCCACTACTGTCCCCGTCCCAGCTCGATCTCAGCATGCCGACGCCCATCCACCACTGTCCCCGTCCCAGCTCGATCTCAGCATGCCGACGCCCATCCACTACTGTCCCCGTCCCAGCTCGATCTCAGCATGCCGACGCCCATCCACTACTGTCCCCGTCCCAGCTCGATCTCAGCATGCCGACGCCCATCCACTACTGTCCCCGTCCCAGCTCGATCTCAGCATGCCGACGCCCATCCACTACTGTCCCCGTCCCAGCTCGATCTCAGCATGCCGACGCCCATCCACCACTGTCCCCGTCCCAGCTCGATCTCAGCATGCCGACGCCCATCCACTACTGTCCCGGTCCCAGCTCGATCTCAGCATGCCGACGCCCATCCACTACTGTCCCCGTCCCAGCTCGATCTCAGCATGCCGACGCCCATCCACCACTGTCCCCGTCCCAGCTCGATCTCAGCATGCCGACGCCCATCCACTACTGTCCCCGTCCGGACTCGATCTCAGCATGCCGACGCCCATCCACTACTGTCCCCGTCCCAGCTCGATCTCAGCATGCCGACGCCCATCCACTACTGTCCCCGTCCCAGCTCGATCTCAGCATGCCGACGCCCATCCACTACTGTCCCCGTCCCAGCTCGATCTCAGCATGCCGACGCCCATCCACCACTGTCCCCGTCCCAGCTCGATCTCAGCATGCCGACGCCCATCCACTACTGTCCCCGTCCCAGCTCGATCTCAGCATGCCGACGCCCATCCACTACTGTCCCCGTCCCAGCTCGATCTCAGCATGCCGACGCCCATCCACCACTGTCCCCGTCCCAGCTCGATCTCAGCATGCCGACGCCCATCCACTACTGTCCCCGTCCCAGCTCGATCTCAGCATGCCGACGCCCATCCACCACTGTCCCCGTCCCAGCTCGATCTCAGCATGCCGACGCCCATCCACTACTGTCCCCGTCCGGACTCGATCTCAGCATGCCGACGCCCATCCACTACTGTCCCCGTCCCAGCTCGATCTCAGCATGCCGACGCCCATCCCTACTGTCCCCGTCCGGACTCGATCTCAGCATGCCGACGCCCATCCACCACTGTCCCCGTCCCAGCTCGATCTCAGCATGCCGACGCCCATCCACTACTGTCCCCGTCCGGACTCGATCTCAGCATGCCGACGCCCATCCAGCACTGTCCCCGTCCCAGCTCGATCTCAGCATGCCGACGCCCATCCAGCACTGTCCCCGTCCCAGCTCGATCTCAGCATGCCGACGCCCATCCACCACTGTCCCCGTCCCAGCTCGATCTCAGCATGCCGACGCCCATCCAGCACTGTCCCCGTCCCAGCTCGATCTCAGCATGCCGACGCCCATCCCTACTGTCCCCGTCCGGACTCGATCTCAGCATGCCGACGCCCATCCACCACTGTCCCCGTCCCAGCTCGATCTCAGCATGCCGACGCCCATCCACTACTGTCCCCGTCCGGACTCGATCTCAGCATGCCGACGCCCATCCAGCACTGTCCCCGTCCCAGCTCGATCTCAGCATGCCGACGCCCATCCCTACTGTCCCCGTCCGGACTCGATCTCAGCATGCCGACGCCCATCCACTACTGTCCCCGTCCCAGCTCGATCTCAGCATGCCGACGCCCATCCACTACTGTCCCCGTCCGGACTCGATCTCAGCATGCCGACGCCCATCCAGCACTGTCCCCGTCCCAGCTCGATCTCAGCATGCCGACGCCCATCCCTACTGTCCCCGTCCGGACTCGATCTCAGCATGCCGACGCCCATCCACTACTGTCCCCGTCCCAGCTCGATCTCAGCATGCCGACGCCCATCCACTACTGTCCCCGTCCGGACTCGATCTCAGCATGCCGACGCCCATCCCTACTGTCCCCGTCCGGACTCGATCTCAGCATGCCGACGCCCATCCACTACTGTCCCCGTCCCAGCTCGATCTCAGCATGCCGACGCCCATCCACTACTGTCCCCGTCCGGACTCGATCTCAGCATGCCGACGCCCATCCACTACTGTCCCCGTCCCAGCTCGATCTCAGCATGCCGACGCCCATCCCTACTGTCCCCGTCCCAGCTCGATCTCAGCATGCCGACGCCCATCCTCTACTGTCCCCGTCCGGACTCGATCTCAGCATGCCGACGCCCATCCACTACTGTCCCCGTCCCAGCTCGATCTCAGCATGCCGACGCCCATCCACTACTGTCCCCGTCCGGACTCGATCTCAGCATGCCGACGCCCATCCACTACTGTCCCCGTCCCAGCTCGATCTCAGCATGCCGACGCCCATCCTCTACTGTCCCCGTCCGGACTCGATCTCAGCATGCCGACGCCCATCCAGCACTGTCCCCGTCCCAGCTCGATCTCAGCATGCCGACGCCCATCCACTACTGTCCCCGTCCGGACTCGATCTCAGCATGCCGACGCCACATGGCTGGAGACGGACGTTTTGTTTTTGTTTGTTTGTTGTTTAACGCCGCACTCAACAATATTTAAGATATATGACGACGGCCTGTAAATAATCGAGTCCGGACCAGACAATCCAGTGATTGACATCATGAGCATCGATACGATGACATGCATCAACCAAGTCAGCGAGCCTGACCACCCGGTCCCGTTAGTCGCTTTTTACGACAAGCATAGTCGCCTTTTACGGCAAGCATTGGTTGCTGAAGACCTACTCTACCCCGGACGGACGTCCCGCCCACTTCCGTCACCGTTCCGGGCTCGATCTCAGCCTGCCGCCGTCACATCGCCGGAGGATGCGGATTAACTCACACAACTCACTAACGCAAGATGGGTTGGATTTGATAGGTGCGACTAAGGAATTTATTAATCATCGTTGAGTGGTTTTTTCATTGTTTCAACTTCACTGACCAAATATCATCATTATCGTTATTATTATTATTATTTATTTATTTTATTTTATTTTATTTTTTTATTATTATTATAAGTGTCGTGGATGACGTCAGTATTGCTTTTATTATTTATACATTATCATCATCATCGTTGTTATTGTCATTTTGTTATTGTTTTTGTATTATCTGATTATATATATAATTATTATTCATGTCTTGGACATAAAATCATGTTTCTTATTATGAATTTTATTTCGTCCTGGAAAGATCACGTTCAAAACGCTGACGCAAGGCCCAAGCAGGTGATACCTTGCGGAATGACTGGTCACGTGGTCATCCTCTAAATCAAGAGAAATTCGCCCTCGTCATAACAAGGTAGAAAGCCACGAACCCACACGGGAACAGTTTGCTGGGCCGTATTTGAAGAATCGTGGCAACATTTCCCGCCGCCCTCCTCTCCATCAGACTGTACTATTAAGTATATACCCGACCGGACCGCGCTCTTTTATCTTCAGCAGTGAGAGAAAGGCGATCTCACTTATTAGTGCGGGGTTTGAAACTCGAAACAACATGAGACCTCCTCGGGCACGTTGAACAATTCCATTGGAGCGGGGAAACATCAAAGGCGCCGCTCTTAAGAAACTTCAAACGAAAAACGCCGACCGGCGTACTACAGTACGGCGAAACGGTCGGAACGGACGGATCAGAGACGAATTTTGGTCGAATCTACGCGATGACCACTCCGCCGCAGTGGTGTTGTTGGAGACGTGACGGACAACGAAGCAGTGGCCTGTAAGCTGATTCACGATGACTGATCGACGGATATTTTCGTAAATTTGACACTTGTCCACCAAAAGTCGATGATTGAGAAGAAAAAGCGAGTTCGTATTTGTAAAGTCGTCTTGCTGCTCGCCAACACTGCCCTCATGATCGCGTTTGTAGCACTTGTGTTTTATTTCACGTGGACGTTCACTGTACCAAGTCACGTGACTGAAATCGATGGTTCTGACGTCACAGCTGGTGATCAAAATGGGAACATCACACGCGGGGTAAGAATCGATTGATTTATTCACTACATGTATCTATCCCGACACAGTGAAACTGCCCCCCTTAACAATCACTGTGTGTCATAATACCCAGTCAGCAGTCAACAATTAGCGAATGATATACATCACTACATAATAACAGTACATATCCAAGTAATGGGTCCAAATACTAATACCCTCAGCCCGGAACGTGCATTATTAATAATATAAGGCCACGAGTTTGATGACAGTCGTCATCAACATTCAATAAAAACATCATCATTCGATAATGAAATGTACAGCAATGTAGAGTTTATCCAAGCCAGTGTTTGGCTGTGGTCTGTCTATGGTACAGTGATGAAGAATGTAATATTTGAGTCACTATGAGTCTCATGTGATCCGTGTATGGCATAAAACATTTGGACTCATTTCTGCAAAACCTATTTTCAGACGCATAACTGTTAATGTAATGATTGCAGTTTTAGATATAATTAGTTGAAAGTAGACATGTATGCTGAATGGTTTAGACATATTTTTATTACATTGCGAACAAACAAGTGAAATATAAGATATTTCTAAACAGTCCGCACTCGGCGTTTTTTTAGTTGACATCAAGCGTCGTTCTTTATGGCGCCACAGCAGAATTGTATCCTAGCACCTTAATGTCCCCTTCCCCCTGGTCGGTCACGTACATTAATGGTTGTTTTTGTTTATTTGGTTGGATTTTATATCACAATTATTATAATTACATCATAATTTTTATATTATTATTCATCGGAACAATAAATTTATCGGGATTTCCTAATCTACGATGGAAGATCATGTGAATGTCGTGTGTCCAAACTATAGTCACCTAGTCTGAGTGTTCAATCAATTCATCAGTTAGTATTCTTTATACCGAGGAGGTCAGAGAATACATTATATCAACTAGTGGTATTCAGTGGTCTGGCGTTTGAATATTGATACAAAGACAATGTGAATGAGTTCGTCAAATCAATGCGCTGAGTGTGCAGAGTAAGACATCAAAGCAAATCCTGAAGCGTATTTCAGTATATATAACTGAGACAAATGACACTATTAATCATTAACTATTTGCAGTTTGTTTACACGCGCGGAAAACGAATGCACACACGCACGCACACACACACACGCACGCACACATACACCGAAGACGCACACACGCACTCACTTTTACACGCACACAAACACCGAAGACGCACACGCATAAGCGCACACACACACGCACTCACTTTTACACCCTAATAAACACCGAAGACGCACACGCATAAGCACACACACACGGGCACTCACATTTACACGCATACAAACACCGAAGACGCACACGCATAAGCACACACACGCACACGCACTCACTTTAACACGCACACAAACACCGAAGACACACACGCATAAGCACACACATACACGCACACGCACACGCACACACACTAGCTCCTACGCACATAAACACCGATGACGCACACGCATAAGCACACACAGAATCACACACAACGACTCCCATCTATACTTTAAAGAGGTTTTCAGTGGAATATGTCTTTGATTCAAGATAACTCATCAATCGGTGATTGGCCCAAACAACACAGGTGAAAATAAACACATTTTGTCTGCGAGTAAACACCGGTAACCTTTTGACACGCCGACACTTTGAGAGTGTTGCTTTTGATCTCGCTGAAATCGACACGGTTACATTTCGTGTATATTAACCGGCTCTATTGAGGAGCGAGCTATATATACACGCGTAGATTTGCTATATCTACGCTCAGATAGCGGTATCTTTATAGACGTTGGTGAATAGGTACATAAACACCGCTAGTAAACCAGATAAAGTTGGATGGAAGTTTTCAGTTTGGAGGAATTAAGACAGAAGTGTAGTGAGTGGTGGAATGAGGGAGGGTGTGGGTGGCTGTGTGAGTGAGTGGGTAATTACACGTTTGTCGTAAGAGGCGACTAACGGGATCAGGTGGTCAGGCTCGCTGTCTTGGTTCAACATGTATTCGTACCACAATTGCGTAGATCGGTGCTGGTGATGTCAATCACTGGATTGTCTGGCCCAGACTCGATTATTTACAGACCACCGTCCTACAGCTGGACTATTGCTGAGTGCGGCGTTAAACAAAAAACAGACAAACAAACATGCCTAGAATCATATCTAGGGCGAGTCTGGGATTCGAATTTACCATCATCTTACTCTGGTTCACTAAAGGGGCGCAACTCTGCCAGGTGAATTGCGGCGGTTTGTGTTGAGTGAGTGAGTGAGTGAGTATGGTTTTACGCCGCTGTTAGCAATATTCCAGCAATATCACGGCGGGGGATCCCAGAAATGGGCTTCACACATTGTACCCATGTCGGGAATCGAACCTGGGTCTTCGGCGTGACTAGCGAACGCTTTAACCATTAGGCTACCCGACCGCCCCGGTTTGTGTTGAAGATTGTTGATGAACAATATTATTATACGTCTTATTCAACATATTTTATGTTTAATGTTTTAATGGTTTTTATCCAAGTGGGGCTTTTATCCTAAGGGGGTCATGTCCGGTGGGCTTCTGACCTTTGGGACTTCTGTCCTACACCTTCAGGCGATTGGACCACGTAGATTCCTACAACATGGTCATGGGCTACATTAAAAACGTGATGTCAAAGCGTCCATACCACGTCAGTCAAACATTGCTAACAAGATCAATACGTTTTCAAAGATCCCCGTTTATTGCACACTTGCAAACAGGATGGGGCTGAATGACTGCACCTCTACTCCCACGGAACAGTCAGATGATAAAGGATGGTCCTCTATAGCTGACAGAAAGAGCCTTATGTTAATACGTACATATAGTAAAACACGTTTATAGCGAACACGCTTATAACGAAGTGACGGATATAACGATTTTTTTGGGTCTCGGCCATTTGCTGTATATATGCTTATCGCGAACTACGGTTATAACGAACTAAAATTAGTGGTCCCTTTGAGTTCGTTATAACCGTAGTTTACTGTATTTAGTTGAATCATGCGCGTGCGTGTGGCCTGTTTCATCGTTCCAGCCCACTGAGATACCATGCCGCAGTTTTAACATGGATACCTCACACAGACATAGTATACTGAACGGACAAGTCCCTGTTTTATCCCCGTAATGGCAAGCGCCAGGTAACGTAGACCACCATCATTTAACGACGCAGCCGGAGATCGAACCAACCCTCCGCAATCCCCCGAAAATCTAAGGAAAAGTATTTTCTGTCACTTTGATGCAATAATATATTTGTTCCATGGAAATTTTGAAACTGTAAACGGAGCAATTTTCTACTCGTAAACGCGTCAATCAAATAGTACATGACATGGTGTGGTTAAACATTAAGTGGTGAAGCTAAACATCAGGTGCTGAAGCTAAACATCAGGTGCTGAAGCTAAACATCAGGTGGTGACACGTTGAAGTTAAACATCAGGTGGTGAAACTAAACAGGTGATGAAGCTAAACATCAGGTGGTGTAGCTAAACATCAGGTGGTGTAGCTAAACATCAGGTGGGGTAGCTAAACATCAGGTGGTGTAGCTAAACATATGGTGGTGTAGCTAAACATCAGGTGGTGTAGCTAAACATCCGGTAGTGTAGCTCAACATCAGGTGGTGTAGCTAAAGATCAGGTGGAGAAGCTAAACTTCAGGTGGCGTAGCTAAACATCAGGTGCTGTAGCTGAACAGGTGTTTAAGCTAAACATCTGGTGGTGTAGCTAAACACCTGGCGGTGTAGCTAAACATCAGGTGGTGTAGTTAAACATCAGCTGGAGAAGCCAAACATCAGGTGGTTAAGCTAAACATCAGGTGGTGTAGCTAAACATCAGGTGCTTCAGCTAAACATCAGGTGGTGAAGCTAAACATCAGGTGGTGTAGCTAAACATCAGGTGGTGTAGCTAAACATCCGGTAGTGTAGCTTAACATCAGGTGGTGTAGCTAAAGATCAGGTGGAGAAGCTAAACTTCAGGTGGCGTAGCTAAACATCAGGTGCTGTAGCTGAACAGGTGTTTAAGCTAAACATCTGGTGGTGTAGCTAAACACCTGGCGGTGTAGCTAAACATCAGGTGGAGAAGCTAAACAACAGGTGCTTCAGCTAAACATCAGGTGGTGAAGCTAAACATCAGGTGCTTCAGCTAAACATCAGGTGGTGAAGCTAAACATCAGGTGGTGTAGCTAAACATCAGGTGGAGAAGCTAAACATCAGTTAGTGTAGCTAAACATCAGGTGGTGAAGCTAAACATCAGGTGGTGAAGCTAAACATCAGGTTGAGAAGCTATACATCAGGTGGAAAAGCTAAACATCAGGTGGAGAAGCTAAACATCAGGTGGAAAAGCTAAACATCAGGTGGAAAAGCTAAACATCAGGTGGAAAAGCTAAACATCAGGTTAAGAAGCTATACATCAGTTAGTGTAGCTAAACATCAGGTGGTGTAGGTAAACATCAGTTAGTGTAGCTAAACATCAGGTGATGTAGCTAAACATCAGTTAGTGTAGCTAAACATCAGGTGGAGAAGCTAAACATCAGGTGGTGTAGCTTAACATCAGGTGGAGAAGCTAAACATCAGGTGGTGTAGCTAAACATCAGGTTGAGAAGCTAAACATCAGTTAGTGTAGCTTAACATCAGGTGGTGTAGCTAAACATCAGGTGGAGAAGCTAAACATCAGGTGGAGAAGCTAAACATCAGGTGGTGTAGCTAAACATCAGTTAGTGTAGCTAAACATCAGGTGGTGTAGCTAAACATCAGGTGGAGAAGCTAAACATCAGGTGGTGTAGCTAAACATCAGGTGGAGAAGCTAAACATCAGGTGGAGAAGCTAAACATCAGGTTAAGAAGCTATACATCAGTTAGTGTAGCTAAACATCAGGTGGTGTAGGTAAACATCAGTTAGTGTAGCTTAACATCAGGTGGTGTAGCTAAACATCAGGTGGAGAAGCTAAACATCAGGTGGAGAAGCTAAACATCAGGTGGTGTAGCTAAACATCAGGTGGAGAAGCTAAACATCAGGTGGTGTAGCTAAACATCAGGTGGTGTAGCTAAACATCAGGTGGAGAAGCTAAACATCAGGTGGAGAAGCTAAACATCAGGTGGAGAAGCTAAACATCAGGTGGAAAAGCTAAACATCAGGTTAAGAAGCTATACATCAGTTAGTGTAGCTAAACATCAGGTGGTGTAGGTAAACATCAGTTAGTGTAGCTAAACATCAGGTGATGTAGCTAAACATCAGTTAGTGTAGCTAAACATCAGGTGGAGAAGCTAAACATCAGGTGGTGTAGCTTAACATCAGGTGGAGAAGCTAAACATCAGGTTGAGAAGCTAAACATCAGGTGGTGGAGCTAAACATCAGGTTGAGAAGCTAAACATCAGTTAGTGTAGCTAAACATCAGGTGGTGAAGCTAAACATCAGGTGGTGTAGCTAAACATCAGGTGGATAAGCTAAACATCAGGTGGTGTAGCTTCACATCAGGTGGTGTAGCTAAATATCAGGTGGAGAAGCTAAACATCAGGTTAAGAAGCTATACATCAGTAAGTGTAGCTAAACATCAGGTGATGTAGCTAAACATCAGTTAGTGTAGCTAAACATCAGGTGGTGAAGCTAAACATCAGGTGGTGTAGCTAAACATCAGGTGGAGAAGCTAAACATCAGGTGGTGTAGCTTAACATCAGGTGGTGTAGCTAAATATCAGGTGGAGAAGCTAAACATCAGGTTGAGAAGCTACACATCAGTTAGTGTAGCTAAACATCAGGTGATGTAGCTTAACATCAGGTGGTGTAGGTAAACATCTGGTGGTGTAGGTAAACATTAGGTGATGTAGCTTAACATCAGGTGATGTAGCTAAACATCAGGTGGTGTAGCTAAATATCAGATGGAGAAGCTAAACATCAGGTTGAGAAGCTAAACATCAGGTTGTGAAGCTAAACACCAAGTGGTGTAGCTAAACATCAGGTTGAGAAGCTAAACATCAGGTTGTGTAGCTAAACATCAGGTTGAGAAGCTAAACATCAGGTGTAGCTCGACATGAGGCGGCGTAGCTAGACATGAGGTGGTGTAGCTAAACAGGTGGTCTTCCCACCAGTCGCCCCTCCCACACGTCTTCAAATCGGTCCCCCTCCACCTTCCATGTGTTGTACGTCTTCCACGTACCCCGTGTCTCATCTCTCATCGGGGCGAGCTCATCAAACACTCTGATCTGACAACAAAGTAAAAATAATCCACATGAAAGAAGGATATCTCCTCGGCAATTACCGTGGCATATATACACTGCCCCCCGTGAACAGTCACGCTGCTTCATTGAGGCCGAGCATTTGATGTGTTGTCACATTTTAAACAATAAACGATAGATAGGTTCAAGCAGAACGAGTTTATGTTTAAACACTGGCTTCCTCTGAAAGAAAAGGAAGCGTATATACTTCTGTATTTGATGTAAGGTAAGGAGGCCGATAAAAATGCAATGCTGGAAGGAGCGAAACCATTCCTCACATACATCAACATGTTCATTGTTTCATAGAGTTGTCTTCCTTTACCGCCGTTATATATTCCCCACTGTCCTTATACCCTTTACCGCCGTTATATATTTCCCCACTGTCCTTATACCCTTTACCGCCGTTATATATTTCCCCACTGTCCTTATACTCTTTACCGCCGTTATATATTTCCCCACTGTCCTTATACCCTGTATTGCTGGTGTTATATATTTCCCCACTGTCCTTATACCCTTTACCGCCGTTATATATTTCCCCACTGTCCTTATACCCTTTACCGCCGTTATATATTTCCCCACTGTCCTTATACCCTTTACCGCCGTTATATAATTCCCAACTGTCGTTATACCCTTTATTGCTGGTGTTATATATTTCCCCACTGTCCTTATACCCTTTACCACCGTTATATATTTCCCCACTGTCCTTATAACCTTTATCTCTGATGCTATATCCTTTATCCCTGATACTATATCATTTATCCCTGATACTATAGCATTTATCCCTGATGCTATATACTTTATCCTGATGCTATATCCTTTATCCTGATGCTATATCCTTTATCCTGGGGCTAAATCCTTTATCCTGATGCTATGTCCTTTATCCCTGATGCTATATCCTTTATCCCTGATGCTATATACTTTATCCCTGGTGCTATATCCTTTATCCCTGATGCTATATCCTTTATCCCTGATGCTATATCCTTTATCCCTGATACTATATCATTTATCCCTGATACTATAGCATTTATCCCTGATGCTATATACTTTATCCTGATGCTATATCCTTTATCCTGATGCTATATCCTTTATCCTGGGGCTAAATCCTTTATCCTGATGCTATGTCCTTTATCCCTGATGCTATATCCTTTATTCCTGATGCTATATACTTTATCCCTGGTGCTATATCCTTTATCCCTGATGCTATATCCTTTATCCTGAAGCGATATCCTTTATCCCTGAGGCTATATCCTAAATCTCTGACAGTACAGAACTTCTTACCATCTATTCTTGTTTGTTGTTTAACATCACAATCATCAATATTCCAGCCACATGGCCAAATAATTGAGTCAGGACCAGACAATCCAGTGATCTCTGATGTTATATTTTTCACGTCTGATGTTATATTCTTCACCTCAGGTGTTATTTATCCTTCACCTTTGTTATAACATTTACCTATAGTCATAAATCCTTTACCTCTGGTGTTATATCCCTTTCCTCTGGTGTTATATAGTTTACCTCTGATGTTATATCCTTTACGTCTGACGTCAAATCCTTTATACCTGACAGAACAAAGGTGGTTTCGTACTATGTCTTCTTCCTACTTTGTTGTTTTACGCCGCACTGAGCAATATTTCAGCTACATCATGACTTCCTGGACCAGACAAACCAGTGATGCTATGAACAACGTCCGACGTCATTGTGGAAACAACGCGCCACGTTATGTGGTGGTTATGTAACATGTTGTGACTTTCCTGATTGATCGCTTTCCAGGAAACGCACCAAGTTACGCTATAGCCTTGAACTCGTTTCTCGGAACTCGACGTCTGCCATATTGGAGACGTTTAAGAAAGTTGCGTAAATCATTTTCAAACCAAGTCTTTAATATAAGCAGTTGCTTTATCACATTCAGTGCATTATTTCAATAACAAAGTACCTTGAGGTCTTTGAGATAATGTGTTGTCGATTTCAGACAAAATGTGTGCGTTATCAGTCTCCCTGTGATCACGCGATAAGCTACGGGATCAAAAGAGAATTTTCTAGAGGTATTCTCTGTTTTGAACTGACCGGCTTATCGGCCTTGCTGGAAACGCATTAGCGCCTCTTGAAGTTCCAAATGCAGGGTCGCACAAAGACGGGGTTGCACTTCTTGACCCCGTCTGGGCCTAATGTGGGGTCCAATCAGTTGTAAACAATTTGGTATGTCTTGAAAACAAATGTCGGCAGGGCTGATCTGATAACTGTGTCTGTAGGCAAAAAAGCGTTATTGGCTAACATACGCAATTCGACTTATTTATCATGTGAAACAAATCTCCATGCTCTTTGGTTGTGATTGAAGGAGTATGTGTGGTATGCGGTGTATGGAAGCTCGTGTTTAGGTGCGCTGACGTACATAATGTCATAACGTCATTGATACGGCAACGTCGGAATGGTGCGCAGGTCTGGCACAGACAGAACCGTTTACTCACGTTCAAATACAGGCATTTCTAGATGTAAATGAAATATTTCTCTATTTTCAATTCCGATTAACCCCATATCGTCACTTTGAACAGCATGGAAGTCATGTGATTTATATTTTGGAGACAATCCCTTTAAGTGGCTCAAGTTAACGACAAGCGTTTGTCCGTTTCTTCAACGACCCTTCCTAAAGCACTTGCCCATTTCTTTCATCTTTCACGGCCTTCCCACGTACTTGTCCGTTTGTCATGACCCGCCTAGTCCTGCACCATGACCGTGGAATATATTTATTTTATGACAAAAAAATAATCTAGAAACGCATACAAAAGCAAATGAAATCAGTATAGGGAAATTGTTTTTTTTATATTTTTAGAGTCAAGAAGGATATTGTTAATATAAGATTTCAGAGACTAAATGTCAGTCTATGACCCGCCGTAAGGCCATTACTTTCACGACCATCAGAATGCTTGTCCATCTCTGTCATGACACTTCCCAAGCCTTTCTCATTTTCCTTCATGACATGCCCCATCGATGCATAAGTGTCATAATATCTGGCGCTCGGCATTAAGGGGCTAAAACAAGGACTGGTCGGCTCGGAGTCAGTATACTGTGTCTGAGTGGGGTATTCATGTTAAACTGCGACATGGTATCTCAGTGAGCTAGCACTATAAATCGGCATCAGTCCGGACTAGTACAAGCAGCCACACAAACACACACACGTACATGCACGTCGCTATATAAGTGCAATAATCTTGGACGCGACGTTAAACCCCATTTCACCTCACCTCACCTCATAATATACTCAAAGTCAATAATAATATCCAGACATTTCACGTGTAAAGAGCAAAAACACAGGTCACCTGGGTATGTAGTCAACAATTTAAAATAAAAACGGATGGTGTGTGTTGAAAATAGACAAATACCAAATTTAATTCCATTTGGAAAATAAATTCTAGAGTTATGACCCAATCTCATTAAAATCAGATCTTAGTTCTTTGTTTAGCGGCAGCGAGATCTTAGATCTGATTTTAATGAGATTGACCATAAATAACTTTTTCAATATGGCTGACGAGGCGGCCATATTGAAAATCGAACCTCTTGAACAAAACGGGGGGTCATTATTGGTGGGAAGAAGTAGGAGAAGTTTCAGCCTCATTGGCCCAGTGGTTTCTTATGTAAAACAAACGGGCCACGCATGAAGCTCACCAGGCTTGACAGGTGCGCTAAAAAATGCTTTGGATATTTTGAATTTGACGTTTTACATTGTGACGTCAATCCCCTCCACCTGAACGTGTCACGTGACCCATGCCTCCTCTTCACCTCATTCTATTCCTTATTTATTTCAGGCCCAGGCGGCCCAAACACAAGAAGAAGATACTGTACAACAGCTGAAGGATAAGGCCCAAGCGGCCCAAACCCAGGCAAAACATACTGTACACATACAGGGTGATACGGACACTGTCGATGAGAAGGGCGCAATTGAAGTTCATAACAACATTGCAAAACATACAAACAAAAGACGTCCGAATAAAATACGGAATCGGAATGACATTAAAGGCCCCAACAGGAGAAGGTCAAGAAAGGGTGCAACTAGAAGGGCCGCCAACAATACTGAAACAGTATGGACAAAATCAAGTAATAAGGACAATTTTATTTCCAAGAAAAAACGGAAAAATGTATTTGGGCTTCGCAAAAGGAAAATTAAGACAGTTCATGAAAAGGATGCTGAGATTGAGACCATATCAATAAATAATAGCGGTGCAGATGTTCTGAATGAAGGGAATAAGTTTCGACTTGGTTTTAGTTACCATGGAAACAGAGGATTATCCAAAAAGGGTTAGTACAGAGTTCGACATTCTTTAATCCCTTTCACACTGAAATAACAGGATTACATACAGTTCCGTGTTATCGCCTGTGTGTTTTATCGTACAGTGAATGATAGACTTACGAACGGTAACCTCACCGAAGGCGGTTTGCCGGACTAGCGGGATTTCATGTGTGTGTGGGTTTGGAGAAAATCGTAAACATTATCACAGATCTTAGCGTTTTTATCTGTAGATGATCGCTGTGACATTATTCCGCTAGCTGGATCAGCTAAGTCATGGGTTCGAATCCTACATTCGAAAGAGGGAGACAGAGAGAGAGAGGGGGCGAGAGAGAGCTCTTTATGTGACGTGACCCGTAATGAGATCAGATTGTTTAGCGTTAGCGAGAACTAAGAACTGATTTTTACTCACTGATTTTTACTCACTCACTCACTCCTGACAATATGTTACAGGCAGCCGTTCGCCCTGGAGCACGTGGGACTCGTGCAGCACGGACTGTGGGTTGGGGCAGCAGGAACGGGTGCGCAGCTGCGGCGACAACTGTCAGGAGATCGAATCTAAGCCGTGTCTCACACAGCCATGTGAGGGTAAGATATCTGCTGGTATAAACCCCGGAGGGGTAATCGTTCTCTGTAACCCACTCAGCCCAGGGAATAAACAGAACGGGGGGGGGGGGGGGGGGGGGGGGGTGTACATATGCAAGGCTGCTTTGGCCCTGTTGTCACGTCTTAGTGCAACGATGTTCGTAAATTCATTAATTACGACCGTGGGGCTCATTTGGTGTCGTCCGGGGTTCGATCCCCGGCCGCGTCATACCATAAGACGTTAAAAGATGGTACTTGTTGTTACCCTGTCTGGCGCTCGGCATTACGGGCTAAAACAAGGACTGGTCGGTATTCATGTTAAACTGCGGCATGGTATATCAGTGAGCTAGCACTATAAATCGGCATCAGTCCGGACTAGTACAAGCAGCCACACAAACACACACACGTACATGCACGTCGCTATATAAGTGCAATAATCTTGGACGTGACGTTAAACCCCATTTCACCTCACCTCACCATTTGGTGTCTGGTGTCTGCCACTTGTTACATAGCTGTATGGAAGTTGAACAGAACAGACGGCGGTTTTCTTTAACTATGGATCTGCATGTGGAGTAAAATATAATTTTGATATACTTTCTGTGTTCCTCAGTGCAAATCTGTTGAGTGATGTCGGTACTACAAAACTTAGATCCATATGGAAAGGGGTGTATATCTCGGGTTTGTCATTGAAAAGCTTCCTGGAGCACGTTTATTTATTTATTTATTTATTTATTTATTTATAAAATACTTTCAATAGACCTCTGAAATAAATATGCTTTATATTTTATATTATCTGTTCCAACATATTCTTATGAAAGCATACCAAAAACAGAATCTTTATGGTCAAACTACAACACGCAAGTCTTTTACGCTACCAAATTCAGTTTGGAAGAGCAATCCATGCTTGCCGTAAAAAGCGACTATGCTTGTCGTTAAAGGCGACTAATGGGATCGGGTGGTCATGCTCGCTGACTTGGTTGATGCATGTCATCGATCCCAATTGCGTGGATCGATGTTCATGATGTCAATCACTGGATTGTCTGGTCCAGACTCGATTATTTTACAGACCGCCGTCATATAGCTGGAATATTGCTTAGTGCGGCGTTAAACAACAAACAAACAAACAATATAAAAGCATACCCAAAACAGATTCGTTATGTCAAACTACGACACGCAAGTCTGTTACGCTACCAAATTCAGTTCCAAAGGCTATCAAGGATGGTCCTCCCTTCCCTAAAACATGGCGACCCCTAACTTGGAGCAAGCTGTCGGAACACTATATGGTATTAATATCGCTGTTTATCGGCAGGCGCGGAGATGACTGACAAGTGGGCCTACTTCGAGATGTTTGACCTCACAGAGACGGAGGTCACGTCAGGTAAGATGAAGAAGGGGACCCAATCGGTCAACCAGCCATCAGTCTTGTGACGACAGAACTGACAGGACATGCTTTGTTACATATGGAGGAGAAACAGGGTCCCAGGCTCATCTCAATGTATACTACGCGAAACGCAAAATAGGTTTTAAAAAACACCCGATTTGTTTCATATGGCGGGGCGGTCGGGTAGCCAAGTGGTTAAAGCGTTCGCTAGTCACGCCGAAGACCCGGGTTCGATTCCCGATATGGGTACAATTTGTGAAGCCCATTTCTGGTGCCCCCCGCCGTGATATTGCTGGAATATTGCTAAAAGCGGCGTAAAACCATACTCACTCACTTTCATTTGGCTCTCAGTTAATCTGTCATAGCATGAGTGATTAACTATAGCCATATTAAATGATCGGGCGGTCTTTGAAGCCATGGCGGGCGAGTGGCAGGTTCTACATTACTGATGTATAGATCACTGAGGGAGAACGTTGGTGGTCCAGTAGACGTGTGCAAAGCGATATGTTGCTCAGAGTTATCTCCCTTCGCCATGGTTGATTCCGCATTTCAGATTAACGTCAGGGTTGATTGACTAGCCCAGTTGTTAAAGGACTTGCTCGTCACCCTGAAGACCCGTGTTCGATTCCGCAACGTTGGTGCTTCAATTGATGTCCTTCGCCATGATATGTTTGGGATATGCCTAATGCCCACTAATTCCTCTTCTCGCCGTAATAGGGGGCACGGGTGGCCCAGTCGTCTAAGGTGCTGCGATTCGCAGTGCAGAGTTGCGTCCCTTGAGCACGCCAGAAACCTATGATTGTGGGTTCGAATCCCGGTTCGCCCCGATTATGTTTCTAGGTTTGTCAGCACCATACCCGTGCTCGTGGGTTTCACCGAAGTGGTAAACGTCTGAGACCTGCATCACTTCGGGCTTTCCTCCCACATTAAGCTGACACGCCGTGATGTAACTGGAATACTGTTAAAAGCGGCGTTAAGTCCAACTCACTCACTCACTCTCGCCGTAATAGGTCGCCAGCAAGGGAGAATCCAGTATTTTTATTAGGGAGGGGTCCAAAATATCAAAATACTCTCTCAGATAATTTTACTGCCTACAACATACATACTATAAAACTCTCTGGATCCCCTATGCCATGTCCGTCTGAAATGTTGATTGGTTGTTTTAAATAAGACACCCAGACTCGATTTTCTATATAGGAATTGAGGTTGGATACAGCTGGGATATGGCTGCCTATGACGTAAAACAACATTCCATCACTCACTTTCCTTGACGTACCTCCTGTATGCGTGTCGTTTCATTTGTTCAGAGTCTGGCGATGCCTGCGAACGATGGATGAAATGCAGCAACAAGTCCATACAACACTATCTGGCTAACATCGCCAAGCTGCCAAGCTGCCCCTGTTTCTACCCCCTCAGCATCGCCATAGACGACAACATCTTCGACAGCGACCAACAGAAGAACTTCGCGTGGAAGGACGCTAGCGGGCCTGTTGAAAGGAACGAGGTATACAAACCCGGGGCAAAGTTCTGTATTCGATCAACACTTCCGGCTCATTCCGTTACCCTGGCGGCACAACACTGTTGCTATGACGGCCAACTGAGACTGATAACACGTGGCAGAGATGCGGGGACTCCAAATCTCGTCAGTCCTCAGTTATCGCGTGAACTACATAAAAAAGTTGATCTCCTTCCCTGGATCTTGTGCAAAGGTGATTGGACAAGGTAAGATCGCTTAGTAGAAATTGTACACCATTTGTCTACCTTGTCTCAGAGCTCCAGATAAGCTGCGTATCTGCGTAAAATACGCATCAGAAATGCAGGAATACGCAGTAAAATAAAATTCAAGCGTATCAAATACGCAACGAACATTACAGATACGATAACAAAAATAAAACTTATGCGTATCATCAAATTATTGTGAAGTAACCCTACGTATTCGATTAGCAAATCAGCAACTTATTTTGAAATAACGGGCATTCCGTCAACCTTGCCAAACGCCACGATGACAGTTACATCATGAACATTTGCCATCACACTTTCTTTTGGAAGTATCGTGGTATTTTTGAGTCCTGTAAAGCTCCACTTTGGACGGTACCATCCGGATTAACGAGGGTTGGCTATAGCTATAGGTGCGATGTCTGATATTATCTTCTGTTTCAGGTATAACAGGGTGGTGCAGCCCAACAACAACCGCCAGTGCATGGCGAACCCTTGTCTGGGGGAGATTCAGCGGCAAGTGGAACTGGCTAGATCCTACTGAGTCGCCATCTCTCATTTGTGTCCTCATCTTGTTGACAAAGACTGAACCCACCCCTGCGTCGGGCGTGGTCAGAGCACCAACCTCAGCGTCAAGAGCGGATTGTATTGTGGTGTTTGGGGAGGAAGTGACGTCATGGGCGCATAAGTGGGTGCCAGGTGGCACGGACGTTTGTGTAATGGCTCCCTGGATTTGACGTAGTGGTTCAATAACTAGACATTCAGTTGTGATAACATGGCTAGATGTTCTTTGTCATGACAATTTGCTTACGTCATGACACGTTAATTGGCTAGATGGAATATGTCATGACAAGTTGCTTTATGACTAGTCGGGTAGATGTGTATGCCTGTGTGTTTGTTGTTTTACGCCGCACTCAGCAATATCCCAGCTATATGACGGCGGTCTGTAAATATTCGAGTCTGGACCAGACAATCCAGTAATTGATATCATAAGCATCAGCATCGGTTCGGCTAGATGTAAATTGTCATGAATAGCTGGCGAGATTTATGTCATGACACTTTGGTTAAATAATAATATCATTATGTTATTATGTATGTCATGATGACATTGTGTTGGCTAGAAGGTTATATCATGACATTTTGGCTCGGTGTTAAATGTCATGACAAGATAATCCATGCCACGACAAGGTGGCTAGATGATCCATGCCATGAGAAGTTGGCTAGATAAGCCATGCCATGACAATTTGGCTAGAGAATCTATGCCATGACAACTTGGCTAGATAATTCATGCCATGACAACTTGGCTAGATGATCATGTTGGAAACAAAACGACAGCATGGGCTCAGTGAACCACGCCCCATCATGGCCTTGAACCCTGACACACGGAATCCTTGACATGACCAGGGTGGTCACACTGCAAACGCAGACGTTACAGCAGCTTTGTGAAGACGGGCCCTTGATGCCGGTACCATGACAGTGTGAAGGAAAGAGTCCGACTGAGATATCGCGAGTGTGGCCTGGGGTCATAGAATTCGACAGCGGCCATTCGCGGATCGGAAATGATGGTCATATTGCCGAGACCCTGAAGTTAAACAAAGCAATTGTTCTCAAAAGGGACAGCTGCGTTTTGACGATGAGAATCTCTCCACGCTGTTTGTTCATTTCCTCATCCAGCATCCTCATTTCCCATCCTCATCTGTCTACAATAGGTACAATATGTCGGTTGACTGACTGCCTCGTGTCAGGTCACGCTAGGGATCCTTGAGGAGGTGTGTCTGGTTGTGACAATGCATTCTCATCTCACGTTGTGGATTTGTTCAACGTACATCAGACACCGTACCTTGTTTACCTCAGAAGGGCTTTGTGTTAGCATAAAAGAATGAAAACTGTATAGACGCTGTGATTAAATCGTGACTATGTATCGCCTTTTTCTTATATCTGTTAAAATAACATTGTTAAAACGTCTTGAGGTATTCCAAAATAGCTGACATTATCTGGATGATTGTCACATGATGTTTGTTAGCCGGAGGTTGAATGGTAAATCTGTATATTTATTTTATTTTGAAGTTTACACGATATACGGCTTTTCCATTGGACGAGAGGTCGGTCACATGACCGCGAAATTGATGATCATAAATGTATGAACGACACAATTTGACGTCCTTACGTATTGCAAGAGACCGTGTTCTTGAAATGACGTAAACATTGGCGGACTACTAAAACATTCCTAGAGAACCCCTGGGAATTCCCCAGCACGAATATATACAGAAGCGTTCTTTCTGATCATTTAGACCGTTTAATCTTGAACTCGGCGTTTGAGTAAACATTGAGAAACGTCAGAGAGAAAAAATGCACATCCAAACTATCGTAGTATCGACTCGATTCGTGTCTAGGCTGACAGTGACAGTCTACAGCAATCTATGAGTTTACCTTAGTGTCTATTTGACACATCTTTAATCACCTTTCAATGATCGACCAGTTGATCAATGATGACTAAAACATGTAACCGCCACAGGTTCATTAACAACTTCTGAAATCTCTCCCGTCACGTTTATCGTGTCGGCCATTTTGACGTTTTGTACTTGATGTAAATGTATTACGACGCGCTGTCATTGTGACTGACTTACTGAGGTAGTTCTGAACAGACCCTTCTCATCTAATGGTGTTATCATTTGAACACATGTTTTGTGTCAGATGTTATGTCACCTCTCTTTTTGACGAACTATTTTCTTCCGCTATATGGCTGGTTGTTGTGTGGCTGTCAGTGTGAACATGACGTCACACGTACCAAATAAAATTAGGTATAAATCTAGGCCTTCTTCCTCTGAGGTGATAAAAAATCATTAGAATTATTAAAGGGCCAAACATTGTATGAACGTCGTCGCTAGCTCCAACGTTCATACAGTTTGGCCCTCACTCTATGAAGGTTCATATTCTAATGAACTCACACGAAGTGAAAGTCAATGTCGGCCGGAGGTTGAAACAGTGTATCTGTATGTTTGTCACGTGACGTTGTTTCGGCCGGAGGTTGAAATGGTGTGTCTGTATGATTGTCACGTGGCGTTTGTCGGACGGAGGTTGAAATGGTGTGTCTGTATGATTGTCACGTGGCGTTTGTCGACCGGGGGTTGAAATGGTGCATCTGTATGATTGTCACGTGATGGTTGATGGCCGGAGGTTGAAATGGTGTGTCTGTATGATTGTCACGTGGCGTTTGTCGGACGGAGGTTGAAATGGTGTGTCTGTATGATTGTCACGTGGCGTTTGTCGACCGGGGGTTGAAATGGTGCATCTGTATGATTGTCACGTGATGGTTGATGGGCGGAGGTTGAAATGGTGTGTCTGTATGATTGTCACGTGGCGTTTGTCGACCGGAGGTTGAAATGGTGTGTCTGTATGATTGTCACGTGGCGTGTGTCGACCGGGGGTTGAAATGGTGCATCTGTATGATTGTCACGTGATGGTTGATGACCGGAGGTTGAAATGGTGTGTCTGTATGATTGTCACGTGGCGTTTGTCGACCGGAGGTTGAAATGGTGTGTCTGTATGATTGTCACGTGGCGTTTGTCGACCGGGGGTTGAAATGGTGCATCTGTATGATTGTCACGTGATGGTTGATGACCGGAGGTTGAAATGGTGTGTCTGTATGATTGTCACGTGGCGTTTGTCGACCGGAGGTTGAAATGGTGTGTCTGTATGATTGTCACGTGGCGTTTGTCGACCGGGGGTTGAAATGGTGCATCTGTATGATTGTCACGTGATGGTTGATGACCGGAGGTTGAAATGGTGTGTCTGTATGATTGTCACGTGACGTTTGTCGACCGGAGGTTGAAATGGTGCATCTGTATGATTGCCACGTGGCGTGTGACGGCCGGGGGTTGAAATGGTGTATCTGTGTGATTGTCACGTGACGTTTATCGACCGGAGGTTGAAATGGTGCATCTGTGTGATTGTCACGTGACGTTTGTCGACCAGGGGATTGAAATGATATGGCATTGCACATGACGCTTTTGTTATCTTCATGTGTGGATTGCACACCTGGATATGACTGGATCAGTGTCTGTGCGCAAAGGACAGGCTGCTAAAGACCGGAAACTGTTCATCTAATCATCCCGTGTGTGTTAGTGAGAATGAGTGACGTAATTATACAGTGGTCTGTCGATCACTATAAACACTGTAAACGAGGAAGATATACCCACTTGATATTGTAAACGACCATGCATATAGCAGACGATATATGTAAACGACCAAATGGTATACCGACATATAACATATAAACGACCAAACGACAAATGTGTAATCACATGATACATGTAAACGACCAAGCTGTACCCTAATGATACATGTAAACGACCATGCTGTACCCACATGATACATGTAAACGACCAAGCTGTACCCACATGATACATGTAAACGACCAAGGTGTACCCTGATGATACATGTAAACGACCAAGCTGTACCCTGATGATACATGTAAACGACCATGGTGTACCCACATGATACATGTAAACGACCAAGGTGTACCCAAATGATACATGTGAACGACCAAGGTGTACCCACATGATACATGTAAACGGCCAAGGTGTACCCACAGGATACATGTAAACGACCAAGGTGTACCCGCATGATACATGTAAACGACCAAGGTGTACCCACATGATACATGTTAACGACCAAGGTGTACCCACATGATACATGTAAACGACCAAGGTGTACCCACATGATACATGTAAACGACCAAGTTGTGCCCACATGATACATGTAAACGACCAATGTGTATCCACATGATACATGTAAACGACCAAGGTGTACCCTCAGGATACGTGTAAACGACCACTGTGTATCCACATGATACATGTAAACGACTAGGGTGTACCCACATGGTACATGTAAACGACCAAGTTCTGCCCACATGATACATGTGAACGACCAGGGTGTACCCACATGATACATGTAAACGACCAGGGTGTACCCACATGGTACGTGTAAACGACCAAGTTATGCCCACATGATACATGTAAACGGCCAAGGTGTACCCACATGATACATGTAAACGACCAAGGTGTACCCACGTGATACATGTAAACGACCAATGTGTATCCACATGATACATGTAAACGACCAATGTGTATCCACATAGTACATGTAAACGACCAATGTGTACCCACATGATACATGTAAACGACCAATGTGTATCCACATGATACATGTAAACGACCAATGTGTATCCACGTGATACATGTAAACGACCAATGTGTATCCACGTGATACATGTAAACGACCAATGTGTATCCACGTGATACATGTAAACGACCAATATGTATCCACGTGATACATGTAAACGACTAGGGTGTACCCGCATTATACATGTAAACGACCAAGGTGTTAGTGTTAGTGTTAGTGTGAATGAGTGACGTAATCATACCGTGGTCTGTCGATCACTATAAACACTGTAAACGAGGAAGATATACCCACTTGATATTGTAAACGACCATGCATATAGCAGACGATAGATGTAAACGACCAAATGGTATACCGACATATAACATATAAACGACCAAACGACAAATGTGTATCCACATGATACATGTAAACGACCAAGGTGTACCCGCATGATACATGTAAACGACCAAGGTGTACCCGCATGATACATGTAAACGACTAGGGTGTACCCACAAGATACATGTAAACGACCAAGGTGTACCCACATGATACATGTAAACGACCAAGGTGTATCCACAAGATACATGTAAACGACCAGGGTGTACCCACATGATACATGTAAACGACCAAGGTGTATCCACATGATACATGTAAACGACCAAGGTGTACCCGCATGATACATGTAAACGACCAAGGTGTACCCACATGATACATGTAAACGACCAAGGTGTACCCGCATGATGCATGTTAACGGCCAAGGTGTACCCACATGATACATGTAAACGACCAAGGTGTACCCGCATGATACATGTAAACGACAAAGGTGTATCCAAATGATACATGTAAACGACCAGGGTGTACCCACATGATACATGTAAACGAACAAGGTGTATCCAAATGATACATGTAAACGACCAAGGTGTTCCCGCATGATACATGTAAACGACCAAGTTGTGCCCACATGATACATGTAAACGACCAAGGTGTACCCACATGATACATGTAAACGACCAAGTTGTGCCCACGTGATACATGTAAACGACCAAGGTGTACCCACATGATACATGTAAACGACCAAGGTGTACCCACATGATACATGTAAACGACCAAGTTGTGCCCACATGATACATGTAAACGACCAAGGTGTACCCACATGATACATGTTAACGACCAGGGTGTACCCACATGATACATGTAAACGACAAGGGTGTACCCACATGATACATGTAAACGGCCAAGGTGTACCCACATGATACATGTAAACGGCCAAGGTGTACCCACATGATACATGTAAACGACCAGGGTGTATCCAAATGATACATGTAAACGACGAAGGTGTACCCACATGATACATGTAAACGACCAGGGTGTACCCGCATGATACATGTAAACGAGCAAGGTGTACCCACATGATACATGTAAACGATCAGGGTGTACCCACATGATACATGTAAACGACCAATGTGTATCCACATGATACATGTAAACGACCAAGGTGTACCCGCAGACACATGTAAACGACCAAGGTGTACCCACATGATACATGTAAACGACCAGGGTGTACCCGCATGATACATGTAAACGACCAAGGTGTACCCACAAGATACATGTAAACGGCCAAGGTGTACCCACATGATACATGTAAACGGCCAAGGTGTACCCACATGATACATGTAAACGGCCAAGGTGTACCCGCATGATACATGTAAACGACCAAGTTGTACCCACATGATACATGTAAACGACCAAGGTGTACCCTCAGGATACATGTAAACGGCCAAGGTGTACCCGCATGATACATGTAAACGACCAAGGTGTACCCACAAGATACATGTAAACGGCCAAGGTGTACCCGCATGATACATGTAAACGACCAAGGGGTACCCAGATGATACATGTAAACGGCCAAGGTGTACCCGCATGATACATGTAAACGACCAAGGTGTACCCACATGATACCTGTAAACGACCAAGGTGTACCCTCAGGATACATGTAAACGGCCAAGGTGTACCCGCATGATACATGTAAACGACGAAGGTGTACCCACATGAAACATGTAAACGGCCAAGGTGTACCCACATGATACATGTAAACGACCAAGGTGTACCCTCAGGATACATGTAAACGACCAATTTGTGCCCACAAGATACATGTAAACGACCAAGGTGTACCCACATGATACATGTAAACGGCCAAGGTGTACCCGCATGATACATGTAAACGACCAAGGTGTACCCACATGATACATGTAAACGGCCAAGGTGTACCCGCATGATACATGTAAACGACCAAGGTGTACCCAAATGATACATGTAAACGACCAAGGTGTATCCAAATGATACATGTAAACGACCAAGGTGTTGTGTTTGTATGTTTGTTGTTTTACGCTGCACTCATGACAACTTGTCGAGATTATCCATACCATGACAACTTGGCTAGATAATCCATGCCATGACAACTTGTCTAGATGATCCATGCCATGACAACTTGGCTAGATTATCCATGTCATGACAACTTGTCGAGATGATCCATACCATGACAACTTGTCTAGATGATCATGTTGGAAACAAAACGACAGCATGGACTCGGTGAACTAAGCCCCATCATGGCCTTGAACCCTGACACACTGAATCATTGCCATGACCAGGGTGGTCACACTGCAAACGCACACGTTACAGCAGCTTTGTGAAGACGGATCCTTGATGCCGGTACCATGACAGTGTGAAGGAAAGAGTCCGACTGAGATATCGCGTATGTGGCGACCATGCATATAGCAGACGATAGATGTAAACGACCAAATGGTATACCGACATATAACATATAAACGACCAAACGACAAATGTGTATCCACATGATACGTGTAAACGACCAAGTTGTGCCCACATGATACATGTAAACATGTTTTACGCTGCACTCAGCAATATTCTAGCATATATATGACGGCCAAGGTGTACCCACATGATACATGTAAACGACCAAGATGTACCCACATGATACATGTAAACGACCAAGGTGTACCCACATGATACATGTTAACGACCAAGGTGTATCGCTGACCTTGTTTGATGCACATCATCGCATCCCTATTGCGTAGATCGATGCTCATGATGTCAATCACTTGATTGTCTGGTCCAGACAGACCGCCGGCATATGGCAGGTTTTTCTGAGTGTGGCGTTTATCAACAAACAAACAAACAAATATAGCGCGGCCTTTCTCAATGATTTGTCACCGAAATGTATAAATACATTAAGATTGCGATTTACGAAAACTACGAGTCTATGCATGAAAATATCTTCAAAGACGAGTCAAGTAACTATAGTTTATTCTCGGAGTCTTTATGTATAGCTTGCGGCCATCTTGGGATCAAACGCCAGTTGAAGGGTATTGTTCACACTCGCTCAGATCAAACACCAAGTCAAACAGGCGTAAGCACATACTGAGACTTATCCCACCATAGCAATCTACAACTTGATTGTCTCTTGTCGGAACGTGGTGCAATGGTAGTCATTTTCTACCGTTTTGAATCTGGGGAGACGAGAATTTAGATATTACAGAATGAGTTAATCTACTTTTCTTAAATCAGCTGCAGGTTTGTAAAACACAACCCCGAAGTTAATTGTGAAGAGAACCTTTTAGAATTAGGGTGTTCAAACGAGTCATTTTCTTGTTGCAAAAATAGTGAGTCTCGCCCGAGTGTCTTTTGATATCAAATATATCAACACGAGTTGATAAAAGTGGTAAAACTAAGAGGCTTGCCGAGGAGTTTTTCCCCTATTAACAACGAGTGTTGATATATTTGATTTCAAAAGACACGAGGTTGAGATTTCATTTATCATCCAACATCGTTCTTCCAATTTTTTCAGTTTGTAGACAGTAATAAGCAGTGTCTTAGTGTAAAAAGTACTGCTAACAGCTTCAGTAGCAGAGCCATTAGTGGTGTCATTTGATTGTGACGTCACAATGGTCAGCAAAGCATTGTGATGCAATTTCATTGGATCAATGTGTGTGGGGGGGTGTGTGTTGCACACTGGGATGATAAAGTGTCTCTGTACACGGGTATCACAATCAGTCTTAGGTACTGTACGTCTATGCGTATACTGTTAATGGGGAGTCTGCAACGCTCCATTGTTCAAGTTGTTAAGAATGTTTTTGTTTGTTTGTTGTTTAACGCCGTACTCAGCAATATTCCAGCTACATGACGGCGGTCTGTAATTAATCGTGTCTGGACCAGACAATCCAGTGATTAACATCATGAGCATCGATCCACGCAAATGGGATACGATGACATGCATCCAACAAGTCAACGAGTGACCTGATCCCGTTAGTCGTCTCTTATTATATATACATCCACCACCACTCAACTCCCAAATTCGATGTGTAAATTAAGGTACCTTTCACAGTCTCTCACACAAAAATGTCAAAATGTTACGTATTTGATTTACATTACTGACTTGTGGCAAGCTTGAAAACCTAAATGTCGTTGTAATCGAAGAGGGTGAACAAGCGTTTGTGTGGGCACTGATGTGTGAGGACGGTGCGAATTAACTTGAAATAAGACAATTATTTCTTGCTTGATACCCCTCGAAACTCTGTTCACTTAAAACAATTATGTGACGTGGTTGTGCATTTGTGTTGGAAATAGAACATAAAGGAGAAAATATTGATTAAATTTGAAAACTGTTGGCAGGAAGTTCCTCAAATATGACCAAACTTGAGATAGATTGTTTGAAAATAATATCCTTTTTCTGTATAATTTAGGTTTTTAAAAGTATTTTTCTGGAGGAGAGAGTATTTTACGAGAATATTTTCTTCTTAGTGTTTCCTGCATGACATTACAATGTGTTCCTCGTCTTGACGAACTGACCAATGATCAAAAAGCTTCTCTTAATGTGTTGGAGTCTTTGCGCCTGTGAACGCGGCCAAAAGTCCAATGCCCTGGGGCCGATCATTGGCTTTACGCAACCGATGTGTGTTTAGGTATGTCGTAAAAGTAAATACAGTATGAATTTAACTTTTTCAGAGCAGTTTGTGTGAATTGTGTAAGTTGGATACAGTGGAAATGATCGAAATATTAATTACACAAAGCATTATGGTTCAAAATATTTGTTGACATTTGCGACAACCATAAACCAACGGGCATTTGCTAATCAGGGAAGTAAACAAGTTAGGGCCAGCTGTGTATATGAAACTCTACGATCTGGTAATATTAACTGCATAGAGGATACAATTTGCACACGTATATTGCTGATATGTCTCTGTATAGCTTTTCTGGTGACCGCAACAAGTTTATCATGTGTTGATTTCACGTGATTAACGAATTTTTAGGCCAAATGAACACACAATGCACTGGGCTAGTCTTGGTCAGCGTGATGTCGTCACTCCAGCCTCTAAAACAGTATTCACGACTCAAGTTGGTAATTACTGTTAATAGAAAGGAGTGGTGAAGATGGACGCCCTTTCAATAACAGCACTCATAAACACTCATAAAAAATAGCGTATTTGTTTTTCTAAAATGTTAAACAACGGCCCACATGTCAAAGAATAACATTAGATCATAAGCCTGGAAAATTATAATTCAAAACTTACACTACAGGAGAATAAATGGTCTCACCATTTGTTATAGAATGGGCAGTTGGTATTTAGATAAGAAGTGTCATAGATTGGGAATTATCGTATCGATATATCAACTGAAAAGTAAATTGACATGACAGTAAATTGAAGTAAACATAGTAAATGTATTGCAATAAAAAATTTTTTTTATAAAATTGCAACGCAAATTCCTTTGCAGATCTTCAAGATATTAAATCATCAGTTATCTGTTGCATTTTGTCATAAATACGCCCCAGACCCAAGCAACAGTTTTGGAACAGTTTTTGAGGTGTACTCATGTTTATTTAACAGTTAAATTAATTATAACATTTATGGCATGTATATTTCAGGTACGGACTACACGGACAATGTGCAAGGCAGCTACTGTGTCTTAAGGAGAGCTTGAAATGGATGTTGTGATCCTTCGTATTGGTAGGCGTACATATACTTCACTCTCAGGTGAGAAAGACTTGGGAAAAATTTGAAATAACACAAATCCATTGTAGTCATCATGATTAACCCTACATGGCAACAATGTGTGAAGCCTATTTCTCCTGCCATGATATTGCTGAAATATTGTGTAAAACGCACCATAAAACTAGCTTAATCAAAATGTTTAATCAGGTTTAGAAATACGCTTTGGTCTTGTTTGATTATCATGATCATGTTGATCATCACAATCAATCTAAGAAATAGACAAAGAGAATTGTGGAAAACTTACATCATTGTGTATATCCTGATATCTGGGCCCCGTTCCACAAAGCGGTCGTAGCTCTAAGACGGTCGTAACTCCTATACTTTAACATAGACTTACGACTGTCGTAGCACTACGATCGCTTTGTGGAACAGGACCCTGGTCCATCAAACTTAATAACATTTGATGTTTTTATGATGTTAATCCTGCGATTGTTACAAATGTTAACATTTCCGAGTCCCGTAATGGGATTCAAACCATTAACCTTCTGATCCGAGGTCTGACATCTTGTCCACATTGTCAAAGAGGTTAACCCCGTCAGCAAGCTGACAAGGTAAGGATGTCATCTGTAGGATGACTTCACACCCTGCTACATACTCCCCCTGTCAACAAAAGGCACGTCCCGGGCACATAGCAGGGTACTGAGACTTATTTTGCTCACATTTAATATGAAACTGCTCAGCCCCAGGTTGGGCGCCAGTGTAGCGGGATTCAAACCATTAACCTTGTGATCCAAGGTTGGACACCTTGTCCACATGACCAAACAGGTTAACCCCGTCAGCAAGCTGATACAGTAAGGATGGAATCGGTGGGATGACTTCACGCCTTGCAACACATGTATGACAACAGTTGTGAAACTATCAGATATGATTATTGGGGAAATTTTAACAATGTGATAAAATTACAAAACTGATTCTGTTGTTTTGTTTCAGATCCCGTGTAGGCGAAGGCAGAAATGTCGGGCTGGGGACAATATCTGGCCAGGTTCGCCTATGACCTTATCTTCTTCAGCAATGACGTCCAAACAACCACCATCGCCATGGCAATCACAGGTTCCCTGTGCTGTTCAATCCTGTGGGCCATCATCCATGTCGTCACACTCATCCATGACCCCCCTGGACACGGCGACCCCAAGTCGGCCACCACACCCACAGAGTTAGCTCCCCTGCACGGCTTAACCCAGGTATTGAGATCATACGGTCTTTAATATCGGAGACCAACATATTAGGGCTGGGACGAAACCAAATTTACAACTCGGGTACCCAACCCCCTATTACCCTACCCCAAAATATATTTAGATACACGTATAAAACCATCTGGTCATGCATACACTGAAGTTGACTGAAGTTATATCTTTATTTAAACTATGAAAGTCAGAAGGAATGTGTGCATAGTCAGAAAGAAATGCGAACAGCAGTGACTTGTAGTGTAAATATGGAATTCAAGATAAGTATATATCACATGACTAATGGGTCCGAATGATAGTTACGGGTTTAACGACTGATTCCTTACAATCTACACCATCTATTAGCCATTCCAGAATGTTTTTTTGTTCAGGTTTCAAATTTTTAATCGGAATTTGTCAAAATATGTTTCGAAGCAAAGTCGCCAATTTGAAATTAGTGCTGTAAAGCACGAGAAAGCTGCCTTCTGATTGGTCATTCCATTGGTCGGTCAAAGTTCACGCAAGGTCTGTCTGACTTGACCCGTAATGGGATGTCCTCAGTTCTTTGTTCAGCGGTAGCGAGAACTAAGATCTGATTTTAATGAGATTGGGTCACATCTAGAATTGAGGAAAATCATTTTGTCAGCTCTGTGGGGTAAAGATTGATCCCTAGCAACCTATCCTTGTAGGGGGCGACTTAATGGACTGTGGTTTGTTGTTTAGATTCTAGTTATTGAATGAACATCCCGTGTCTTCTTTGGTTCGAGGATATTATCCCCTGCCTCGAAGTGGAAGGGGAATATAGGAATGGGTGCTGTCCGTCATGTTTTGTTTTTGGACCACTATGAGCGATATCTTAACCAAACTTGGCACATAGATAGGTCTAGTGGTGAAATGGTGCCTTTTGATAGTTTGGGATTTTTGAAAAAATTATTTCGAGTTTCCATGGCAACAACTTTGACTTGACTGAAAATGGGGGTATTGGCGGGGGATATGAGTATTTCATGCTTGTTAACATCTTACATCCTGTTTCAGATGACGCAGAGATCACTAATGAGTACTAGTCTGGATGTTCTGTGTATCAGGTAAGACGTACACTAAGATTTTAACGATGTCTGCTGCTATGATTTGGGGCTCACTGTGAAACCTGGTGTGTATTGAGAGTCCTTTTGCAACCTATTTTAATTCAGTCTGTCACCAATTTAAGTCCCAGATAAACAGCCAAGGGTCATAGAGTTAAAAAGTTAAATGTACAGTGTATATATATCAAACAGGTCAAGGAAGGTCCATTTCATGACAGATCATCTGTTGCTTGTAGCACCACGACATTCTTTCATTGTGGATTCTAAGACCCTGCTACAATTCTTTAAAAAAATATGATCAAAGATAGAGTGCAGTTACATAGAGAATCTCACCCGAGTGTCTTCATGGTCTTTTGATATCAAATATATCAACGCGAGTTGATAAAAGTGGAAAAATTCCGAGGCTTGCCAAGGATTTTTGCCACTTTTATCAACGAGTGTTGATATATTTGATGTCAAAAGACACTCGGGTGAGATTCTATTTATCATCCAACATCATTCTTCCAACTTTTTCAATTTGTAGACAGTAATTAGCAGTGTCTTCAGTGTAAAAAGTACTGCTAACAGCTTCAGTTGCAGAGCCATTAGTGATGTCATTTGATTGTGACGTCATGGTAACCAGTGATGTCACAATGGTCTGCAAAGCATTGTGATGTTATTTCATTTCAGCGATATCTACAGTGTAGATATCGCTTGATCTCATCCTGTTTGGGATGATAATCCCATTTACATGCACACTGCTTTACTGCGCTACTTGTGTTATGGTCATGGCAGCAATAAGAGCTTGTGTGCTTGTGTTTCCGTTTGCAAATTTACAATGGGTGACTTAAATTAAAAAATCATTCATGTCATTGCCAATATCATAACTGAAAAGAATTTTCATAGGAATTGATAAGACCAAAGACTTTGTATCTCTAATGAACCAATTCATATGTATTTTTTTAAGCCTTACGAAAACCTGTTTTTCATTGCAAATTAAGGAGACGCATCATTTATTAAGCGTCATACTGTTCAAAAGAAATAACCAGCTCACTCACTCTCTCAATTGTTTTGGTTGTGTCAGATGTGGTCGTCTGATGTCGAACCAGAAGTGTCGCTATGGGATGTGTTCGGGATGTTGCCTGGGGCGACGACAGTGTCGCGTCCATCAGTCCCTGGTTGTGTCAGACTCCGTCGTCATGGGACTCCGGATCACTGGCCCCAAAGGAATCGATCTCAGGTATCATTGTACATTTATTTGTCAATACAGTGAAACTTTTCAAGAATTGCTCATTCCTTTGTCCTGAGAGACAAGGAAAGGAAACAACGCCGGCCTCGGACAATATTCAGTCTGCTGTGGCACAAACACTGTTGTTTGAATATGTTTGGGATAAGGCTGTAGCTGAAGAGATGGTTGACATCATCTTGCCATATTTCTTCCCAGGTAATAATATTCAAATATCTGACAAGTTTAAAGGAACTATTTCACCGATTTGGATGCACCATCTTGTAATGACAGTAATGAAAGAACGATGTTACCAAGGATACACTAGGTAATTTCAACAGCGTCATGACGTCAGCCCATTATGACATAACTCAAAAAGGGTACTATCTCGTACAGTCATACAGTCGGCACATTGATATTTTAGCGAAGTATCTAGAATTGTCAATACATTTTGTACAAGGTTCACACAGGACTATAAAAGGCCGGGAATGAAGACAAAAATGCCTTGAAAAGTCTTGGAATTAGCCCCAAGGATTATCTGAAGGCATAAAATTATTTGACATGTGTAATTATTTTGAAAACTTTAAAATGTTTTGAAAGCTTTCACATTCTGTCGAGCATGTCTAGTATTACAGTTGGGGGCACGGGTGGCCCAGTTATCTAAGGCACCGCAATTCCCTGTGCAGAGTTGCGTCCCTTGGGCAAGCCAGAAACCTATGATTCAAATCCCCCGTTCGCCCCAATTATGTTTCTAGGTTTGTCAGCACCATACCCATGCTCGTGGGTTTTACCGAAGTGGTAAATGTCTGAGACCTGCATCACTTCGGGCTTTCCTCCCACATTAAGCTGACACGCTGTGATATAACTGGAATACTGTTAAAAGTGGCGTTAAACCCAACTCACTCACTCACTCACTCACTAGTATTAGTTAATTTACCATGGTTACTGAAACTGATATGACTCTGACAGACACATAGAAAAACATACATTGACTGATCATCCCTTGTAGCATTGAGATGTCTGACTATACAGGACAGACATCTAACACTTACCGTATTCGACGTAATAAGCGCCCCGCTCTAATTAGCAACAACGGCAATATTTGCTTACATATTGTCTAGTGAAAAATCCCAATAAGCGCCAATGATCAATGTACACAAGACCTATTTATTCGTGTATAATACGCACTCGTGTGTTACTAGCACCCTTAATTATGGCCAATTAAATTCTGGAAAAATATATCTGTCGTGTATAATACGCACAGACTTTTCTTTTGTATCATTTCAGGCTGTCAGCATAAACCATGAAATTTACGATCTTTCAACTCTGTTTTTTTCACCAAAATTTTATTCTAATAAGAGCCCCCTATTTCTAATTTTGAGAGTGCCCTGGGCGCTTACACTGAATCTCTTGAAGTCAGTCATTTCCATTTTAGAATGTCACAATAGCATTGAAAAGACCTTAAAATGCCATAAATTTTGTGAGTGAAAGTCTGTATGATCCATTCAATAGTATGCAGCATTACTTAATGCTTGTCAGAACAGATATTAGGAACAGGTGGTCAAACAGCCTAGTTGCACTCGTCCATGAGTACTTTAGTTGCTCTTGTTTATACACTAGCTGATCAATGCTTCAGCAGTACATAACACAAGTTTCTCTTCCTTCAGGGCTGGGACGAGTCCAAATTTACTACCCAGGTACCTGAACCCCTATTGCCCGACCCTACCTGGGTACCCACTGTAGGTCTTAAGAGTTGGGAACAAAAAGTCTGATTGGTAATAGTTTTACCACATCCCTGGGAAAAACTATTGAGATACATGTATCAACCGATCAGATCATGCATACACTGAAGTTGACTGAAGCTTTACTTTACTCAAACAAATACAAGTCAAACGGAATGTGTGTGCATCGCCAAAAAGAAATGCAAACATTAGCGACTTGTAGTGTAACCACTGAGCTATAGCGAGTTTTGTCATTAAAAAATATATCACGTGACTAACCACGGTTCCGGGTATTCCTGTGGGTACCCGGGTCCTACTCAGGACCCACCCGACCTCAGTACCTGAGTTACCCATCCCAGCCCTATCTTCCCCCTTGTGGAGATTCTGGGGGAGAGGTCACCATGCTTCTCATAGGAATTGACGAAACCAAGGACTGGGTGTTTGCAGTGGGTGGTGTGTGCATAGATTGTTGCAGAGTTGGCCGTTTTGCTGGGGTCTATCATACAGCTGGAATATTGCTCACTGTGTGTGAAACAATATATGCCCATTCAGACATTTTAAGGATTAAAAATGACGATAAAAACGTTGAATTGTGTGTGGATGAAGCTACAAGGGCTAACTGATCTATACACCTGCTCATTAATGCATGTGTGGTTGCTTTGTAGACTGTGTTACTAAACCTTTCTCTTACCCTGATGCAAGCTCCTTCCCAGCGTGTGACATCTTCGTTGCAATCTTGAAATTTGCCCTCTTACCCCAAATGCTGTAACGTTTATACTTTTGTTTATTTCTTTGGGAATGCCATCATTGTTAATTTTGAAAAGGTTTACGACTGGCCATATTTTCCAGATGAATTTGCTTTTTTGTTTGTGTAATCAGATTGGTTTGAGATTGCAGATGAACGGAAAATAACTCAACTTTCCTGTTACATTCTTACTAAACAATTACATCACAGTTAGAATGGAATACAAATACAAATTGACAAACAAAGAAAATAATTAAGTTTGGGTAAGAGTATTTGGCGTCACGGCAGTCATCACTTGTTTGTAAATATAACGGTATTCGGTTGCGAGTTCAACTCCAAAAATGGTTGTGGCCACCGATCACAGTGGGGAGTTTTGACAGGTGGCAGCGATAGTATAGAGAGCTCCGCGAACATTCTATCGCTGTGAGGAGCTTGATCCTGATGGTCAAAGGGGAGATCATTTCAGTTGTGTAGATAATTACCTCCCTTAACTTTTGAGCACATTAAGAAGGCCAGATTTGGGGGATTTTTTTCTGTTTTTTGGTCATCTTGAGAAAGTACAGGAGACACAGTTATTAGGCAAAGGATACTGCTAGGTGGTTTAGGTGATAAACAGACTTGAGTGTGAGGTAGGGGAGGTAACTCTTCAGTCATGATTACGTCATTGCCTGGCATGTGGTTAAGTTGTACCATGTTTTGTTCCAGCAACAGTTGTATGAGCAGTGTCCCTGAGCGACTTGGGTTTGTAGGCGCCCAGCTGACCTATCTCAACCTGTCCTGCAACAGTCTGACGCAGCTTCCTCCAGATATCGGTTGTCTACAGGGTCTCCGAGAACTACAGCTCAACGGCAATCAGCTCACTCACATTCCAGTTTGTTATGAATTCTTTCTTCTATTTTACTTATTGTCTTATATTGTCTCATGTGCTTATAATAATTACTCCGTGGTCAAGTGGGTAGAGTGCATGCCTAGAGGGCGAAAGGACGGTGGTTCGATTCCTAGGCGTGTCATATCACAAGACTTTGAAAGATGGTACTTGTTGTTACCCTGCCTGGCGCTCGGCATTGATGGGACAAAACAAGGACTCGTCGGCTCAGAGTCAGTATACTGTGTCTGAGTGGGGCATCCAATATCCATTGAACTCCAGTCTGGAATCTCAGTGGGCTGGCTCTATATGACCAGCATTTGCCTGAATTTGTTCTAACACATACACACACATTCATGCACATAGCTATGTATGTACAATAATCTTGAACGTTCATGGTGCATTTTAAACTTTGAACTATTTCTGAGAAAGACTACCGGTACACAGTTTAGTCCACATGTCTCAGGATATCTTCTGTAATTTCAACTTTTTTTCATAAACATGAACTGAGTTTCAATATATGTATTTCTAAATTGAATCTACCAAGTATGCCAAAGTTATGGATAATATCAGTTCATCATCAAAGTTTTCTGTCTTGGATATTTTGTTACGTGTTGATTCCCAAATTGAAACAATATGTTAACCCAGAAATCTGTATGTAAAAGAACTGAGTATGAAACCAACGAACAACCAACAAATAGTATATAATCAACAAATGTATTTGCAAAATTCACTATGTTTACAAATCAATACAAATTACTGCACAGTACTTACAATGGCAGTACACAATAGAGTGGTAGTACAATATTCACTGAGAGTATATAATATGATGGAAGTGGTCAGTATCAAATACAAAAATACAGTGATCATAGCAAAAGTCTGTAATAATATTATATATTCACCCAGTTGTCAAGCTTCCAGGATAGGATAGGATAGGCAGGAAATCAGGGATGATGAGCGATCCTCACATGAAAGCTGGTTTTGATGTGATGAAATGCATGAGAGATCTGTAAACAAGCACTTGTCTCCTTATATAGTCTAACCAGCGACTGGAAAGTTCCACATAGTGCACTCACAACATAGAACATTACAGAAATGTCGGTAACAGACTATCACTGTCCGCGGTATACGGGACTGAAAGTTTACAAACCACACTAGCATCTAAATATAGTAACTTCCTGATGACTGATCACTGTCCAAACGCAATGTAATGTGCGTCTACCGTATCCCAACAGAAACAATGTAACGCGGATACAATCATCGTTAAGCAATACACTACCATATAACAATTGCTGATGATGCTGATTTTGTTTACAGTCCACATTAGGGAGTCTACATCAGCTGACGGAGCTCAACCTGCGACACAACCAGCTGGCCGACATTCCAGGTATAATCTGGGTCATCTCGCCCACTGTTATCTGCAGATAGTCCATATTTTTAACTTATCCTGCATTACTCCTTAATGCATATTACTGCTTGTTCTTGACCGAGAAAAGAGCTGTGTGAAGATCTTGCTTGAAGATGTTGTTCCAACTAGCTGAGAGGCGAACCCTATCACAAAGCTCCAACATAACCAGGGGAAGTGACGTCACAGATCACCACATTATTCTTGTCACTTGATGAGTAAAGACCTGTTTTTTTATCTGCTCATAAAACTTGTTAAAACTTTCACATGTTTTACTTCTTTCATTTGCTATTGATTTGTCAGATACTCTGCTACATGTGTTACCTGTATGTTGTCAGATGCTCTGCTGCATGTGTTACCTGTATGTTGTCAGATGTTCTGCTACATGTCACCTGTATTTTGTCGGATGCTCTGCTACATGTGTTACCTGTATGTTGTCAGATGCTCTGCTACATGTTACCTGTATGTTGTCAGATGCTCTGCTACATGTTACCTGTATGTTGTCAGATGCTCTGCTACATGTGTTACCTGTATGTTGTCAGATGCCTGCTACATGTTACCTGTATGTTGTCAGATGCTCTGCTACATGTTACCTGTTTGTTGTCAGATGCTCTGCTACATTTTACCTGTATGTTGTCAGATGCTCTGCTACATGTGTTACCTGTATGTTGTCAGATGCTCTGCTACATGTTACCTGTATGTTGTCAGATGCTCTGCTACATGTTACCTGTTTGTTGTCAGATGCTCTGCTACATGTGTTACCTGTATGTTGTCAGATGCTCTGCTACATGTGTTACCTGTATGTTGTCAGATGCTCTGCTACATGTTACCTGTATGTTGTCAGATGCTCTGCTACATGTTACCTGTATGTTGTCAGATGCTCTGCTACATGTTACCTGTATGTTGTCAGATGCTCTGCTGCATGTGTTACCTGTATGTTGTCAGATGCTCTGATTCATGTGTTACCTGTATGTTGTCAGATGCTCTGCTAAATGTTACCTGTATGTTGTCAGATGCTCTGCTACATGTGTTACCTGTATGTTGTCAGATGCTCTGCTACATGTTACCTGTATGTTGTCAGATGCTCTGCTACATGTTACCTGTATGTTGTCAGATGCTCTGCTACATGTTACCTGTATGTTGTCAGATGCTCTGCTACATGTGTTACCTGTATGTTGTCAGATGCTCTGCTACATGTTACCTGTATGTTGTCAGATGCTCTGCTACATGTTACCTGTTTGTTTTCAGATGCTCTGCTACATGTTACCTGTATGTTGTCAGATGCTCTGCTACATGTTACCTGTATGTTGTCAGATGCTCTGATTCATGTGTTACCTGTATGTTGTCAGATGCTCTGCTAAATGTTACCTGTATGTTGTCAGATGCTCTGCTACATGTTACCTGTATGTTGTCAGATGCTCTGCTACATGTTACCTGTATGTTGTCAGATGCTCTGCTACATGTGTTACCTGTATGTTGTCAGATGTTCTGCTACATGTCACCTGTATGTTGTCAGATGTTCTGCTACATGTCACCTGTATGTTGTCAGATGCTCTGCTACATGTGTTACCTGTATGTTGTCAGATGCTCTGCTACATGTGTTACCTGTATGTTGTCAGATGTTCTGCTACATGTCACCTGTATTTTGTCAGATGTTCTGCTACATGTTACCTGTATGTTGTCAGATGCTCTGCTACACCTGCCTAGTCTCAAACACCTGAACGTGGAGCACAACCAGCTGACGAGTTTATCCCCTGGCATCAGTCATCTCTTGCTCCTGGAGGAGCTCTACGCAGGGTGAGACACCTGTCACACCTCTCACACCTGTCACACATCTCACACCTGTCTCACCTGTAACGAGAAGAATACAAATAATGGGGAAAAATCATGTCAGATACCCTTTTTTCTCAAAATGTAATTCACACTGATATTTTGACAGTTTGACGTCTTGCTAAAATAGAGACTTTACTTGAAGCAAAAGGATAACATTTTTATCCCCTCAAAAAGGAGGTGTTTATTCTTATGTATGTTTTTCCCTACAGGTATTTGGTGTAATTCATTTTTATTTTTCTGTCCTGTTATAATGATCCATCGTGTTACAGATTCAACTGTCTCACATCTTTACCAAGTGCAATAGGAAAACTTTTTAATCTAAAGGTAAGAAAACTCTGTTTATCTGAGAAACAGCTAGAGATGAGTCTTGTTCTAAACAGACTTACTGTACAGCCACATCCACACATTGTTAGCAGTGATATCTGTTTAAATCGCCAAGAGCGTGAGTATTGTTTAGGCGTCTTCTTTTAGACAAGAATCAGGGAAAGACATATATATATATATTCCTTTAATGTGTCACAGGGCATTACTAAGGATACTGAGGTGTACCGTTTGTATTTACGTTACTGACTAGAATACTTCTGATACATCTCTGAATTTCATTTCATCAAGAGCGAGACAAATGTGTATCCCATTTCATAATTACAGGTGCTGTCTGTCCACCATAACAAGATGGCGACTGGTCTACCGAGCAGTATTGGTCAGCTGATCTGTCTCCAACAGCTGGACGTAGAGAACTGTGATTTGTCGTGCCTGCCGCCCACCCTAGGGAGGTGCATGTCGCTGTGTAAACTCAAGCTGTGCCACAACAGGTACACAGGCCCCTCAGTCACACAACAATGTGTGTGTGTGTGTTCATCTGTGTGTGTGTGTTAATCTGTGTGTGTGTGTGTTTGTGTTTGTGTGTGTCTGTGTGTGCATCTTTTTGCGTGTGTGCATTGGTGTGTTGTGTGTGTGTGTGTTTGTGCATCTGTGTGTGTTTGTGTGTGTGTTTGTGTGTGTGGTTATGTGTTTGTCTGTGTATGTGTATGTTTGCGTGTGTGTTTGTGCATCTCTGTGTGGTTGTGAGCATCTGTGTGGTTGTGTGTGTGTGGTTGTCTGTGTGCATCTGTGTGTGGTTGTGTTTATGTGTGTGTCTGTGTGGTTGTGTGTGTGTGGTTGTATGTGTGCATCTGTGTGTGGTTGTGTTTATGTGTGCATCTGTGTGGTTGTGTTTATGTGTGTGTCTGTGTGGTTGTGTGTGTGTGGTTGTATGTGTGCATCTGTGTGTGGTTGTGTTTATGTGTGCATCTGTGTGGTTGTGTGTGTGTGTCTGTGTGGTTGTGTGTGTGTGGTTGTCTGTGTGCATCTGTGTGTGGTTGTGTTTATGTGTGTGTCTGTGTGGTTGTGTGTGTGTGGTTGTATGTGTGCATCTGTGTGTGGTTGTCTGTGTGCATCTGTGTGTGGTTGTCTGTGTGCATCTGTGTGTGGTTGTCTGTGTGCATCTGTGTGTGGTTGTCTGTGTGCATCTGTGTGTGGTTGTGTTTATGTGTGCATCTGTGTGTGGTTGTATGTGTGCATCTGTGTGTGGTTGTATGTGTGCATCTGTGTGTGGTTGTATGTGTGCATCTGTGTGTGGTTGTCTGTGTGCATCTGTGTGTGGTTGTATGTGTGCATCTGTGTGTGGTTGTATGTGTGCATCTGTGTGTGGTTGTCTGTGTGCATCTGTGTGTGGTTGTCTGTGTGCATCTGTGTGTGGTTGTCTGTGTGCATCTGTGTGTGGTTGTGTTTATGTGTGTGTCTGTGTGTGGTTGTGTTTATGTGTGCATCTGTGTGTGGTTGTGTTTATGTGTGTGTCTGTGTGGTTGTGTGTGTGTGGTTGTCTGTGTGCATCTGTGTGTGGTTGTCTGTGTGCATCTGTGTGTGGTTGTCTGTGTGCATCTGTGTGTGGTTGTCTGTGTGCATCTGTGTGTGGTTGTCTGTGTGCATCTGTGTGTGGTTGTGTTTATGTGTGTGTCTGTGTGGTTGTGTGTGTGTGGTTGTATGTGTGCATCTGTGTGTGGTTGTGTTTATGTGTGCATCTGTGTGGTTGTGTGTGTGTGTCTGTGTGGTTGTGTGTGTGTGGTTGTCTGTGTGCATCTGTGTGTGGTTGTGTTTATGTGTGTGTCTGTGTGGTTGTGTGTGTGTGGTTGTCTGTGTGCATCTGTGTGTGGTTGTCTGTGTGCATCTGTGTGTGGTTGTCTGTGTGCATCTGTGTGTGGTTGTCTGTGTGCATCTGTGTGTGGTTGTCTGTGTGCATCTGTGTGTGGTTGTGTTTATGTGTGCATCTGTGTGTGGTTGTATGTGTGCATCTGTGTGTGGTTGTCTGTGTGCATCTGTGTGTGGTTGTATGTGTGCATCTGTGTGTGGTTGTCTGTGTGCATCTGTGTGTGGTTGTCAATGTGCATCTGTGTATGGTTGTGTTTATGTGTGTGTCTGTGTGTGGTTGTGTTTATGTGTGCATCTGTGTGTGGTTGTGTTTATGTGTGCGTCTGTGTGGTTGTCTGTGTGCATCTGTGTGTGGTTGTGTTTATGTGTGTGTCTGTGTGGTTGTGTGTGTGTGGTTGTCTGTGTGCATCTGTGTGTGGTTGTGTTTATGTGTGTGTCTGTGTGGTTGTGTGTGTGTGGTTGTCTGTGTGCATCTGTGTGTGGTTGTGTTTATGTGTGTGTCTGTGTGCATCTGTGTGTGGTTGTCTGTGTGCATCTGTGTGTGGTTGTCTGTGTGCATCTGTGTGTGGTTGTCTGTGTGCATCTGTGTGTGGTTGTGTTTATGTGTGTGTCTGTGTGGTTGTGTCTGTGTGGTTGTGTTTATGTGTGTGTCTGTGTTGTTGTGTCTGTGTGGTTGTGTCTGTGTGGTTGTGTTTATGTGTGTGTCTGTGTGGTTGTGTTTATGTGTGTGTCTTTGTGTGGTTGTGTTTTCGTGGTGTGTCTGCTTGTTGTTTTACCCAGCATTCAACAATATTCCAGCTATGTGACTGTGGCTCTTACATAAGTCTGGACCAGACAGTTCAGTGATTGATATTATGAGCAAAGATCCATCAACCATGTAGTCCAACCACCAAATCCATTAACTCACTTATGACCAGCATGGTTTCCTGAAGACCATTTGTTAACCAGACTCCCTGTGAGGCATATAATATGTAGGAAGTTATTGTACATCAAAATATGTTTATAACGATCACGCTTATAACGAACTGATGTCATAATTTGATTTTGCTTGTCGACATTAATTAGAACCCAGTTGTAAAGGAAAATAGTTGAAAACTGGAAATCAAATCTAGCACCATTAATTTGATGATTATCTTTATCTCACATCCTCTAAAGCATTGTGGTTGATGTGGTTGATGAGCTTCCAGACCAGTGAAGATTCCGGGATAGAATAGGTCTTCAGCAACCCATGCTTGCCGTAAAAGGTGACTATGCTTGTCGTAAAAGGCGACTAACGGGATCGGGTGGTCAGGCTCGCTGACTTGGTTGATGCATGTCATCAATCCCAAATACGTTGATCAATGCTCGTGATATCAATCACTGGATTGTCTGGTCCAAACTGGATTATTTACAGACCGCTGTCATATAGCTGGAATATTGCTGAGTGCGGCGTAAAACAACAAACCAATCAATCAATGATGAGCTTCCATAATCATGTGCTGTGGATAATGGTTCAATAATGGCAGAATATTTCAGATTGAGTTACCTCCCTTACCAGCTGTCACAGCTGCAGCAGCTGCAGGAGTTGTATGTGACAGACAACGGGCTTTCATCTTTCCCAGCTGCAATGGAAAACATGGCAATCAAAATGTTTGAAGGTAAAAAGGATCTATAGTAGAACACGGCTATAACGACCAGGGCCCTGTTCCACAAAGTGGTCTTAGCGCTAAGTCGATCGTAACTCCCATTCTTTAACACTGACTTACGACAATCGGAGCGCTAAGATCGCTTTGTGGAACAGGGCCCAGGGATAGAGCGAACAAACGGATACAACAAACTGTTACAAAATCCCCAATTTATCTCCTATATATTATCATATAAAATTTATGTACATAACAAACTCTCTACAGCGAACAAACGGATATAGCCAACTGATATCTGATCATCGACAAGCCCATCTACCACTAATTAGTGACGTGTATAGCGAACTGAGAAATCTCACTCAGTGTCGAGTGCCACTGACAATTGACTGTACGCAGTCAGAAGCGAATCAACACAATTGTGGCGATCAACACAATCACTGGTGCCGATTCAACCTTGTTAAATTTGTATAATGTTAATCAGACCTGTCCATGTAATTGGACTAATCTAGTATGTTAAACAAACAAATTTCATTCAATATTGTTTACATTAATTTTGGTGATATTGGAATATATTATTCTGATAAAATAATAATTTCAGATACAATTTCTTCCGACCATTGCATCAAAATGTTTTGAAGTTGTATCATTGGGTACTTTTTAACTGAATCACCGGTAGATGCGGGAGGAAACGTGTATAAACGTGTATGTGTATTGTGTTAGTTTAGCCAAGATGGCGGACGTTTCCAAGCGAAAACGTATATAACGAACAACGTATATAACGAACTGATTTCTCCGGTCCTTTGTAGTTCGTTATATCCATGTTCTACTGTATTGTCAAATATTATCGTTTTGTTCGTGATAATGAATGTAAGTGACCTTACTGATAGCATCTTCAGAACTACAGTCCGTTTGACTCCAAATGAGAACGATGAATTGCAAAATAACTCGAAATCCAGAAAAGTGTATGAAACATCAATACGGTACTTGACCATGAATACCCTGTACCCAACAAAATCTGAATTTTGTTTATTTTAAGACCCATGACGGATGAAGTTCTTTAAGAAACTATCATGTAATTTTGTATAGAAATGTGTACATGACACGTAGGGGGGACAAACCGTGGAAGGCACAGCGCAAGCACGCATGCACTGCACGTTCTGTGGTAGGGGAAATGACAGAGCATTAGAGGGGCCGTCTCATGATAATTTCAGTCACAATCTGACTCGCTCATGCCATAGATCTCGTCGTCGGAACTGCTGGTGCCTGAACCGACTGCCACTATTATAGGTTGGACTGTTGCTGGCCGTAGTCCATCTCGTGACCAATAACGTGGCTCTATCTTGTCAACGACTGTGGCCACACAACGCCTCCATGTTTCTACTGTTACCCGACCAAGGGATTCCTTTACGAGTTGTTCAACGTCTCGTAATTTGAACGTTGTGTTTGATCGTCCAACGTCACCCTTGACGATGCCCCATACCAACTCGATTGGATTCAGGTCGCAGTGATAAGGTGGCAGTCGTAAGACAGCGTGAGCCTGACCCTTGATGTAACTGTCAACTTTATACACGGGGTCAGGTTTCATAGTTTTGATGATTTCATAGAGCTGTGGTTTCGTCGCTCGAGAAGGAAAGGTAATGTTCCTCCGTTGCAGCCAAGTAACCATGTCTCCTTTACGGTTATTAGAGGTTGGAGTCTTGCTTTCTGGATCCTGCATACTATGATACGGTGCATTGTCCATGACAATGAGAGACTTGGTAGGCAAAGCAGGGACTAATTTATCTTTCACCCACTCCAGAAATACATTGCCGTTTATTTCTGTGTGGTAGTCCCTGTTGTCTTTGGCCTTGGCTCTAAAGACAAGGTCACAGTCTGGGAGAAAACCCTGACTAGCAGAACCAGCATGGAGAACTATGAGTCTTTCACCCTTTCCCATTGGTAACTTTCTACCAGACTCCTTACAGTCACCACTGGGTACCCACTGACTGCTGGCTATGTGTGACGCATTTACCCTTGTCTCTTCTAAGAAGACGGGCTCATATCCTTCTTCACGTTTCTGCTTGATGGTACGAAGGTAATGATTTCGGAGACGAACAATGTCAGACCATTCACACAACACAGCCCTATTTTCTCCAGTTATCTTTTTGTATCTTTTTGCAACAGCTGCCATAGTTTGTACTTTGCAACACGTAAATCATGGTCAGTTTCAAGGTGTTTCTTCAAAATTCTTAGGGACAGGTACTTATTTTCCGAGTGCAGTTTAACAATTGCACGTCTGACTTGATCCCTCTGAAAACTGTCTAATTTATCAACCTTGCGTGGTTTTGACATGTTCCCTACCTCCTTGGCCTGACTATTTGTATCTCGTCGACTAACAATATTTTTAAGTTTCTGAGGGGACATACCAAGAGCTTTTGAAGCTCGTTTCAAGAATTTATTAATTGCATAAAAAGGGGCTTTGCTCTTTCTGCTTCACTTCTAAAGAAATCATACACATTCAACATCAGCTGTTTAACATCTGCTGAGTAGCGCATCTTGTCATTGAATGAACACGGTCACTGTGTAGCACGTGCAGACCGTGCTTGCGCTGTTCCTTCCACGGTTTGTCCCCCTACGTGTCATGTACTCATTTCTATACAAAATTACATGATAGTTTCTTAAAGAACTTCATCCGTCATGGGTCTTAAAATAAACAAAATTCAGATTTTGTTGGGTACAGGGTATTCATGGTCAAGTACCGTATTGATGTTTCATACACTTTTCTGGATTTCGAGTTATTTTGCAATTAATCGTTCTCATTTGGAGTCAAACGGACTGTAACATGTTTTACTAGCTCCCTGCTTCGTTAACTTTTTCTGAATTCACTGTGTTTTAGTTTCAGGGAACCCTCTGATCACAAGGGACACTGCTGTTATTTTATCTAACGAAACAACACCAACAGAGGTCTTAACATTCCCTCCCCTCATTGAAATAGTTGCCCGGCAGATAGTATTAAAGAAAATAGGACACCGCCATCTTCTTCCTGACTTCTTGCAAGGTAAGCTGACAATCAATGGTCGTCCTTGTGTCATGATCCAAAATTTTTTAAAAGATAAGGGTTCATGTCTTTTATTATTTATGTATTTTCTGGGGGATGTTAGGCAGAATGGACTCCCTGCTATCCTTGTAATGACATCAAACTATTGGTATTTGGGTTGTTACATTGTGTGACCTGGCCGATTACTCATGCTATCAGTCACTGGTTTACCAGGCCCAGACTTCATTATTGTAAATCTTGAAATTAATGCGTCTCCAAATTAATGTGACTTTTGACCCCTAGCCAAAAATGTGACTCAATATTAATGAGTGATTCCCGTGCAACCTTTCGAGTTGAGTTGATTGGTTCAACTGTGTCATATGGCCCTGTGACGCAGGGGTAGCATTATGCAGATGGCTCTTACAATGAATGCTCGTACCACCTGTGACAAACAGGTCTGGTTGTTGATGAAATATAGTGATAGCTAAATAGACAGAATTTTTATTCATGCACCGATTGTGTTTAAATGTAATATCCAGTTATGTATGACTGTTTAATAATCTCATACCAACTTTGACTGGAGTAGGTCCAATAGTTTTTCAGATATTGTAGTAAACGTCGGTACCTTAAATTACCTTCCAGACTTTACAATATAGATATTGCCTGATCTCACCCAAGCTATATCTCTTGTTGGAGCCAGTTTGGGATGATAAGAATAGATTGCAACAATGTTACAATATTATGTCTTACATTTGAAATGTAGCTGCTTGTGACAACATGTTTGTACTGAACCTTATGCAGCAAGTAATACATCTTCCTGAGGCAAGGGAGTTATCTGACTGTAAAAGTCCAGTTTCCACCCTTGCCGAACTAGACTGAAATTTCTTGGCTCGATAGTAGCGCCACCATGACTATTACGACTTGTGTTCCTTCTATGTCCCTTCTATTGACCAATCAAATTCCACCTCTCATATCACATGCATTTGCTTCAAACAAAATGGCCGCATCCTGTCAAGACAATCTGATCGATAATCAAAGTCTATATTTTGATAATATTTGGTCTTACTTCGCAAAGTGCATCGAATTATGTGAGCACCTTGATTAAAAACATGAAAAGATTTGGAAAATATCTGTTGACGCTGAGTTGGCAGTACACATGCTTTGCAAATCCTGCAATCATCCGAAATCTGCATGACAGTTTATGAACCAGATGTTGATTTCAAACACAATTTTGATTGGACTATGCATAGACCCGTTAATCCAGCCAAATCATAACTCCATATTTCCAGCCTAGTTCAGCAATGGTGGGAACTGGACTTTTAAAGTAGGTAAACTTCCTTGCCTCGGGTAGATGCAAGGAATACAGATGCAGGTGAGCTACAGAGCCTTGTGCTTCTGGTTGCTGTTGCAGATCTCCTCCAGGCCAGGAAGCAGTGCAGTCGTTGCAAACAGCCGGTATTCCGGTACCACCACACAGCCATACGCCAGGGAGTCATTGGGAAGTACCGCACCAAGGTGCCGCTCAAAGAAACACTATGTGCTCCCCATCTGTCCACAAAATGTCCTCTTTTGTGAAAAAAAATGCTACAATTCCATGTTGTTTAAAGCCTAAGGGAGCCACTTTGGTAACATATAAATATATTTAAGATCGAAATTTCTGGGTTTTTTCAATTATATGTTTATTTTCTTGAAGTTTTTGCTTGTTATTTCGATTATGTTTTCTACATTTCAATTATTTTCTCATTACTTCGAGTTTTTCATAATTTCAAGTTTATTTTAAAAAAACTCAATTTTTTTATTTTTATGTCTTGTCAAAATTTCTGTTATTTTTTTTAGCTGCTTCCGAACGACTGATTCCGTCAATTTATTATTATTTTGTATATTTTCTGTTATTTTCTCGTTGCTGCCAGTTTTTTCTCGTTACTTCAATTATGTTCTGGTAATTTCAATTTTCTCATTACTTCAAATTCATTTCAAAAACACAAAATTTTGATTATTGTTATCATTATTTCAATTATATTATCGAAATTATGAGTTTTTTCTAGTTGCTTAATTTTTTTTCTCAAATTTCGAGTTTTTTAAATAACAAGGAAATAATCGAAGTAATGAGAAAATACTCCTAATTCCGGGAAAATAATTGAAATATCGAGAGAAAAATTGAAATTTTGACAAAATAATCGAAATAACAAGAAATTTTGATTTAAAAAAAAATGAACCAAAGTGGCACCATTAGGCTTTTGTAAAGTTGAAGGTATAACAAATATGTTGGTATTTCTTAAAAAGATGTTTAATGAACATGCTTTACTGTAGCAAAGTAATGTAGGTTGTGTGTTCCCAGTTGTCTGAGGTGCAGTAAATCGCTGTGCGGAGTTACTTCCCTTAGGTGTGCCAGAAACCTTTGATCATGGGTTCTAATCCAAGATTCACCTTGTTTATGTTTCTAGGTTTGTTGTTGGTTGGTTGGTTGGTTTGTTGTTTAACGCCGCACTCAGCAATATTCCAGCTATACGACGGCGGTCTGTAAATAATTGAGTCTGGACCAGACAATCCAGTGATTGATATCATGATCATCGATCCACGCAATTGGGAACGATGACAAGCATCAAACAAGTCAGCGAGCCTGACCACCCGATCCTGTTAGTCGCCTTACGACAAGCATAGTTGCCTATTACAGCAAGCATGGGTTGCTGAAGACCTATTCTACCCCGGATCTTCACGGGTAGTTCTAGGTTTGTCAGCACCTTTTCCTAGCTTGAGAGTTTCACCAGAGTGGTAAATGTCTAAGACCTGCATCACTTTTGGCTTCCTCCCGGTCAAGCTGACATGCTGACGTATAACAGAAATGCTAGATACTCACTTTAGTAACATACAAACGTGTAGCTTCAAAAGAACACAAGAAATGGTGGGAAGACTGTCCATGACTTGCTGGTATATATATTTCTATTTTACATATCAAGGGTTCAAATCCAGATTGACAGTGATTATATTTCTTGTTCTGTCAGCACCATATCTGTGTCCATGGTTTCACCAGATTGGTAAACGTCTTCAATCTCATTAAAATCAAATCTAAGTTCTCGCTGCCGCTAGACAAAATCTGAGGACATCCCATTATGGGTCACGACATAACGCCCTTTCGCAAACTTAGACCGACCACTGAAATGACTGACAAGAAGTCGACATCAGCCAATTAGAAAGCAGCTTTCTCGAGCTTTACGGCACTCGTTTCAACCTGGCGACTTCCATTTCAGACTACGCTTGAAAAATATGTTGACACAGTTCTTGATTAAAATTTTGAAAACTGAACAAATGAACATTCCGGAATGTCTGACATATGGTTAAGATTGTATGGCAGTGTTTCCTATGTACTGAGCAACGCCAACCCCGTTCAGATGTTTATCCCACGGAAGCGAGAGATAGACGATAATTTTGACGGAATCAGTCGTACGGGCAGTCACTGCCATTCGGAATACCCCGTGTTAATGTTTCGAGGTTGCATGTTTAGAAAACACATTCCTACTGTCATTTTCACGATCTGGTAAGCGATGCTTTGATTGGTTGGATGAAAGGTCGTTCTGACGTGACCCCTAATGGGATATCTTCAGATCTTTGTTTAGCGATAGCGAGTACTAAGATCTGATTTTAATGAGATTGTAAACATCTTAAGACTTGCATCACTTCAGACTTTCCTCACACACATCAAAGGGCATGTCTCCAGGGTCTAATTAATAGTCTGTTCATGTATACACAATTGGCCACGGACGGCCCAGCAATCCGAGCACAATGCACAATGCACAATGCACAAATTGCTGACCACAAGATGCTACAGTCAGGGTTGACCAATTATTGTCCAAACACCACTCTTAAGATGTTTTGGAGCCAACATTCCATCTGTGTTCCTTGTGATGCGCTGTGTGTTTTTCATACAATTGAGATAATATTTTGATGTCATGTTTGTTATGGAAATTGGGTACAGGGCATTAAATTACCTGTTGTGTGGACTGTACGAACTTTATATTCGGCCAAAACAATTTATGTCCATGTCTCATAGACAAGCCTGAACATGCTAAATCTTTTAGAAGTGAAAACAGATTATCGTAAAAATGGCATTTGAGGTAAAACAAAAAGTAATTAAATTTTATTTCAGCTGTTATAGATTTTTTATTTAAATTTTGCATCCTTAACTTTTTGACCAAGAAAATCTGTAAGATAAGAAAATATATCGGTCTGGCCTAGTACTTAAGTACAACAGACTGAGCTGTTGTGACTCTATACCGAAAAGCTTTCTTTGATCAGGCAGCTAATGCAAGGGTCATTTGTTTGCAGTGTGTCTGGAGACGTGTGTCTGTCAGCTGTGTGATGTGGCATTGTGTATAACCTGATTTCTTTGATCTGACAACGCAGACCACCATGCTATATGAATACTACACATCTTGCGATGACTGTAAAACTTGGATGGTGTTTGATCTTTGTGATAAGAATTGTCATATCCGTGTCAAGTGAATATTTAGTCATTTAGCATTAACCCTGTGATGATTTGTAACTCCATATTTGTAAGAATTCCATATACAATCGCATAATTTTTGTGATTTCTATACACTCTTTTATGTGTATTTTATCAGTTAGAGTTACGTCCCCTTGGAGTCCAACTTGGATTGATTCATTTCCATCTTATCATTAGCTTCATCTTGTGAACAAATAGAATGATAACAGTCAATATTTGTCTTAAATAAAGAGTTTTTCTCAAAAGGGATGACATTTAGATAACAAATTCTAAGAATTTAGCAGCTTATTACAAAACCAATACAAGTACATGTAGTTTAGTGAATATGTTACAGATTGTCATTACATCAATAACATAATTAGAGTTAGCGTATGTCGGCCATTGCCTTACTTGCTCCATGGTTTACAGATGGAGCATGAGAAACAATATGGCTGTATGGTAAGCATCCTCCTTTATCCAGAGTATTATTTTATGGAATAGGCCTATATACCCTGGACCCGTTTGTCGTAACAGGTTTTGAGTATGCTTTGAATGACATGACGCTAAACAAAACTCCAATCATATTACTCTGTTCTTTCCTTTCATGATTGCGGGACGGTGGGGTAGCCTAGTGGTTTAAGCCAAAGACCCTGGTTCGATTCCCCACATGGGTACAATGTGCGAAGCCTATTTCTGGTGCCCCCCACCGTGACATTGCTGGAATATTGCTAAAAGCGACGTAAAACCATACTTACTCTCTAACTCCTTCCATGATTGCAACAAGCGGAAGTATCACCAGTACTTGTCTTACCTATTGTGTCGTCCCTTATGGAAACGCTTGGTAGCATAGGGATTCACCTCCCCGTCTGGATTCTCAGGAATATATCCTTCCAGCTTGAAGTTTGTTTGTTTGTTTGTTGTTTAATGCCGCACTTAGCAATATTCCATCTATATAACGGCGGTCTGTAAATAATCGAATCTGGACCAGACAATCCAGTGATTGATATCATGAGCATCGGTCCACACAATTGGAATATGATGACATGCATCGACCATGTCAGCGAGTCTGACCACCCGATCCTAGTCGCCTCTTACAACAAGAATGGGTTGCTGAAGACCTATCCATCCCGGATCTAGGAGTAATAAAAGTCTTCTGCTTGTGTGTCACAATATTGTATGTCGATCTATACGATCTCTTGTTCAGCGCTTTGATTGATTTTAAATGCATAAGGAAGTGTGATTCTGTGCCATGTTAGTGACATGAGAGATGGAGATGGTCACAGTTAACTAACGGCTCAGGGTACTTATGATAGTAGAATGAAGATAAAATACCCTGGATAACTGAGGATGGATGTACTTCAGTTGGTTTCAGATTTATATAGGCAGTTCAAGCATGAGTCTCACAGAAGTAGATAAGGATCTATTGGAAGATGATTGTCTGGATCTGCGTGACTGTTAGGCCTGTTATAATGCAGCATTATTCAAATCTAGTCAAGATTAACAGATTGATATTTGAAGTTGTAGATAATTTGATAAAATGTTGTAATTGACAAAAGTGTTCTTCAGAGAAGAGTGGTGTTGGTTGGTGCAGTAGTTTATGTGTTTGTCTGGTACACACAAACCCATGTTCAAGACCTAACCTGGTCACAGTATGTAAAACTTGTTTTTAGTAATTCTTACTTGGGCATCATTAACAAATCAAACTACCATCACTGCAAGAAAGCTGGCCAGTGATTGATCTGGAAATTTAAATTCAAATCTGCTCGGTAGCTTTGCATGTATATGAGGACTGATGCCGATTTATAGTGCTAGCACACTGAGATACCATGCCGCAGTTTAACATGAATACCCCACTCAGACACAGTATACTGACTCTGAGCCGACCAGTCCTTGTTTTAGCCCCTTAATGCCAAGCGCCAGACAGGGTAACAACAAGTACCATCTTTAACGTCTTTTGGTATGACGCGGCCGGGGATCGAACCCCGGACCTTCCGCTCTCTGGGCCGACGCTCTACCACTAGACCACGGAGGCGGTCCCATAATAAGCATGAACCACCATGAGTGTATTATATATTTTAAAGGAACTCTCACTCGCTTACTTGTCTATTCATGTTAAAATAATCTATAATCACAAAATCACGCAAGTATTAATATGTGAAATATTAAATGACTGTCCATTTATATGGCATTAAACTGAACCCGTCTGATGAGTGACCTCCCTTTGATTCCTACACAAGACCATTCCCTTTCTAGTGCTTTTTCAACATGTGATCTTATATAGTCAATTCGAGAATTATTGTTTGACAAAAAGCAACATTAGTTTTAGGACAATAGTAGTATTGTTTATCTAGTCTTTATTCTTATGTGATGATTATGTAGTCAAAATAACAATTCTGTAGTCAATCTTAGTAATTCTTGATCTCCGATCCTATGATTTTTGTCAATAAACATGATAAATTATCTGTACCAATAATCAATTCATGTTTAATGTCCCTTTCAATTAATTTTTGAATTTGCTCAAATTAGAATAATCCTTATTTTGTTTTAGAAAGGATACAAGCATATTGACAGTTTTGTCTAAATGCTACAATAGAGATGACACACACGTGTATCGAAAGTTGTTCAACTAGCCATGAATCCAATAGCGTTCTTTGATTTTTCAGTGAGGCTTAAATAATTTTCATAACTATATTAGGCTTAGAAAATAAAAGAATTCATTCTCAGGCAATGACTTTTGAAAATATAGTTCAGACAGGCGGTGGTTTTTTTTGGTTTTTTTTTTGTGTGTTTTCAATCTATTATGTAACCAAATAAACAGTTGTGTACCATCAACCTGAGAAAGGGCCTCCCTACATAAACAAGCATACAAACTCCTATTGCTGCCATGACCATAACACGAGATGTGCATGTAAAGAGAAGTAACTGTGTGTTATATTGTTTTTAAGTGTTAGGATTTTTTTTTTTAAATGGAAATAAAAACAAAACATGCAGCGGACTTTATGATGATGCTGCAGTGCCTGAGAACCAAGACTGTTATATATTTTTTTTAAATTGATGAGAATTGGGACAGAGATTCAGCAAGCATCCTTGAAATAGTTTCCAATATAATATGAATAGGAGAGATATTGTAATCCCAAACAAAAGCCACACATACTGCACAAGTCCCTTATTATCATACGGCTCTATACCACACTCCTACTCCACACAAATTACTAAATTACACATTAATAAAATTAATAATAAATGTCCTAAACTTTTGCAAAATATGGTGTCATAATGTTAAGAGTTACAGATGTGAATGTTATTTAAGCTACAAGGAAATGACAGAAAGCTACTGGTTTCATGGTTGGATTAGGCACATATGTATATATATATGTACATGTTCTTTTTCAACATAGGGAACACCCATTATTTGTGTTTAACTGTGATGGAGATTTCTGCATGTACCGTATTTGATGTAATAAGCGCCCGAGGCGTTCTCAAAATTAGAAATAGGGGCCTCTTATTAGAATATTATTTTGGTGAGAGAAAAACAGTTGAAAGATCGTAAATTTCATGGTTTATTCTGACAGCCTGAAATGATACAAAAGAAAAGTATGTGCATATCATACACGACAGATATATTTTTTCCAGAATTTAATTGGCCATAATTAAGGGTGCACATAACACAGGATCGCGTATTATACACGAATAAATGAGTCGTGTACATTGATCAATCGGAAGGGGTGCTAACTGGGATTGTTCACTAGCCAATATATTAGCAAATATCAATGTGGGCGCTTATCACAGCAGGGTGCATATCATGTCAAATACGGTATCATATAAAACAGATCAGTGTTGTGAGAAATGAGAGGCAAATGTGCAGGTCTAATTTGCCAATGTCAACGTCTTTTTTATTTTGCATATATTTTACAGATATTTCAAGTGCTATCAGTTTTTCATTCCACTTTTGTTTGCTTGCTTTTCAATTGTTGCTTTGTATGGTTTCGTTGTCGATATTTCTGTATATATATATATATTGCAGTGTGATTGACAATCGTATTGCTAAAACATGTAGATTCTACCCTTTTAATAAATAATAGTTGAAATGAAACATAATCTCTACCAAAGTATCATGATTATTGTTAAAGGGCAATGATGCCCTGTGGTCTAAGGTGCTGCAATTTGCTGTGCAGAGTTACAACACTTTGTTGGCCAGGATCTGCTGATTTTGAGTGTTTGGAATAGTTTGTTTTCAGGTATAAGAAGTTTTCACTCTAATGTAATCATGAATCCAATACATTTGCAATTACAGATTATAATGGTCAGTTTGAAGATAATACTGTACTTGTTTGTACAATAGGGTTTCACCTGTGGGCAAGTGAAATGTTGCAGAATTTGAGAAATTGTTGCAACTATATTTATTTTTTACAAAAGGGAAAATGTTGCTCACATAGCTATGTTAAATCAACAGTATTCTATGGAAATGCAATATGTGTGTGTGTGTACGCTGTGTTCGTTTAGCATTTTTTACTACAATATGTCCTTTTTTGGACAATACATGAGAATGTTCATACGTGGGGCTTAAAGGCTTTTTGTGCGGTTTTTCAAATCTTTGAATAAAATGTCTTCTAGTCCGAGTGCTGTTGTTATTTATTTAGTTAATGACATTATGATATTGAAAGTATCATAACAGACTCAAAATCGGTTATATTGATTAAATTATCACTTGAAGCAGTTTTCAAAATAGATCCTGAAACGATAAAAAATATTCTTAGTGGTCTTCTAGATCGCACAGTAAGTTAGAGTTACCTCCCTCAACCACGTTGCTTCCTATTTCGTTTAGTTGCACCATACAGCGAACTTTGGTGAATAAGTAACAGTCTTAAAGAACATGAGTTTTGCGAAATACAAGAAACTGATTGAGGAGGGAGACACGGTTATACTGTATCTAAGTTTCAATAACTTGATCCCAATCACGGTCAAGAGCGGACAAACTCACCAGAACAAGTATGGAGCCCTGAAGCATTCGGAAATGATCGGGGTGGCTTACGGAAGTAAGGTAAAGAAATTAAACTTACAATGGTACTAGGAATCAGGCTAAAGGAGACCCGTGATCACATTTGTTTCCGAAAAAGAAACAAATATGGAAAACGGACACGGGACATATATAAACAGCTGATAAACAACATGAACTGTTCCGAGGAAAGACTTCCGCCCGTAATATCGGGGTTCAGCCTAAAACGGCACCTCAGCTAAACGTCACCGATTTCCTTGGCGAAAACGCTACTATGTGCATGATGTGTCGGGCGAAAACGCTACTATGTGCATGATGTGTCGGGCGAAAACGGCATCTCTATTTTTAATAACGATAAGAACGGTTTATGTAGTAGTATATATGGTTATTTGATGTATTTGCGATTGTCATCTCAATATGGTCAAAGTTGTCTTGATTTTTTTCAGTAAAATTGAGTAAAGGTATTAAAACTTCAAAGCATATATAATTTTTTACAATAAGTTAGTTGCGCTTCCCAATCAGATTTGGCGAGTAAATTGGAGTAGAGACTAATTCCTAATTTCAACTTGTTTGAACATTTCACAATTATTTGTGTTTGTAAGTGACGATCGATGTGAGTTTAATTTTATTTATTTTACTTCAAAGCATGTTATGTTTTCACAATTAGTTGAGTTGTGTATATTCTGATTTGGAGTAGAGGCTAATTTCTAATGTAAAATTGTTTCAACATTTGACAATTCTTGGTGTTTGCAAGTGACCATGTGAGTTTAATTTCATTTATTTCAGTACCAAGGTTAAAAAAAATAAGGTGTCATTTTCGCCAGGCAATAGCCGTTTTCGCTTGAGGCCAGGTGATGTTTTCGCCAATCGGTGATGTTATGCTGTTTTAGCTATAACCCGTAATACTGTATCCCCCATCCAAAAGTTATATATACTTAGGGTGGGTGGGATGACAAGGGCAGAAGTCTGACCACTCCAAATATACAACACAAGGCAGGTTTCAGTAACTTGTTGTATTTTGTATCTTGGATCTTTAATCAGTTTCACATTTCCTACTGACAGAATTTTCTTTATGAAAATAGTAAGTTGTTCACTTACTTCAAGATGTTGAATTAACTAGTGTTGTAGTCATGATAACAGCTTCCACAAATCCTACACTGCACCAGTTTGTTATGTTTGTAGATAAACCTGAAGAAGGGCTATGTGTACGTTCTGCACCCAACCCCAGAACTATGGACGCAGACTGTTCCACATCGTACCCAGATCCTCTACACCACAGATATCAGTATGATCTTGACACAGCTCGACCTTCGACCCGGCAGTGTTGTTGTGGAATCTGGTAAGGAATGTATGAAAAACTGGGTTATAATACACAGTGCTGCATTGTGACATGCTGTGGTTCAGTGTGGTTAGATATATGTTGTCACAATATTATAGATGTATATGCAACATTTCAGTACAGTTGTTGGAATCTGTCAATTCCGTATAAGAAACTATACCATGTGTACTATTGCCAGGCAACAAAAGAACATGTTGAAAAAAAGAGGGTTATTTGTCTTTAAAATCTAAAATAACTGAAAAGGTGCCCTGGCCTGGTCTTCTGTGCAGAGTTGCTTCCCTTAGTCATGCCGAGACTGATGATCGCATCTTCCCAAGACAAGTAAGTTAACTGACTTTATAAGTCCAGTTTCCACCCTAGGCTGGGATTTCTGGGCTCGATCGTAGTGCCACCAGTGGCTATTACGAGTTATGTTCCTTCTATGCTTCTCCTATGCACCAATCAGTTTCCACCGCTCGTATCACTTGCATTTGCTTCAAACAAAACGCGGCGGCGCCTTGTCAAGATGATCTGATCAATAGTCAAGATTTATATTGAGATAAAACTGGTCTTACATCACAAAGTGCATCAAATCACATGAGCACCTTGATTAAAAACATGAAAAGATTTGAAAAATATGTGTAGACAACAAGTTGTGGTGCACATGCTTTGCAAATCCTGCAATCGACCAAAATCTGCATCGCCATTAACAAACAGGATTTTGTTTTTGTTGCGCGATTTTGATTGGACTTTTATAGTCAGTTAACTCCCTCAGGAAGATGGATGATTGTGGTGGGGATGTAACTCGAACATTAAACAGCATCATAAGGTATTTTTTTTAAATGTGCTCTTAACATTGCTTCAGGAACCAGGAACGACTTTAACCATAAAAGTTGCCAGCAGGATTTGAAGTTCACACCAAAGGAGGGGGCACAGGTGGCCCAGTCGTCTAAGGCACCGCAATTTGCTGTGCAGAGTTGCATTCCTTGGGCACACCAGAAACCTATGATTGTGGGTTCGAGTCCTGGTTCGCCCCAATTATGTTTTAGGTTTGTCAGCACCATACCCGTGCTCGTGGGTTTAACGTCTGAGAACTGCATCACTTCAGGCTTTTCTCCCACATCAAGCTGACACGCCGCGATTTAACTGGAATACTGTTAAAAGCGGTGTTAAACCAAACTCACTCACTCACACTTTGTTCCTCGCTCTCTGCAGGCACTGGTAGTGGGTCCCTGTCACACTCCCTCATCAAGGCGGTGATGCCCACCGGCCATCTCCACACGTTCGAGTTCCACAAAGAACGAGCTGGGCAGGCAGCAGAAGAGTTTAAGGCCCATGGACTCTCGGACTACGTGACGGCCATTCACCGAGATGTCTGTGGGGGCGGCTTTCAGTTGGACCATGTGGCTGATGCTGTTTTTCTGGACCTGCCGTCACCGTGGGAATGTATTGCCAGTGCGAAGCAGGCTTTGAAAAAAGAAGGTAATCCAGACAGAAGAAAGTGTATTGTGTGAAACAGAGCTCCAGATAACTTTTTTGAGCAATTGAGATTTTTCTCTAGGGTTTCTATTTTAATTGGGTTTTTACATTTTTCATTGGGTAACCAATATTTTTCCACTCTTCTATTCATCATGTTCATCACTCTTTTGTGTTTTTCCCAAAACTAGTGAACATTTTAAGATTTAAAAAAAAATGAAATAATGTTTAAGATTTATATAACTGTTCTGGTATAGGCTTGGTTTGGAAAGTAAATTAGCTCGTAATTGTCTTTCGGAATTTAGCTCCTTTGTATGCATGCTGAAAAAGCTTCATTGGGCTGTTTTTATACATTGAGTTTTTCATTTAATATTGGGAGGTATTTAACGTAAATACGCTGCTTATCTGTAACTATAGGAAAGGTCTAGGTCAAAGTAAATACTGGAAATCTTGAATTTAATGCGCCTCAAAATTAATACAACTGCTGACCCCCACCCAAAAATGTGACTTAATATCAATGCAACTCCCCCTACCCCCTTCCTAGTGGAATGATACATATCATTGCCTTAATCCAACCTTACCTTATTCCAACCTTACCTTAATCCAATCAAACAGCAAATAACACTACATATCAACGCTGAGTAGAGCACTTCCGTTAAAACAATAAACAGTGTTTTCCTAAAACCAACACACAGTTTATATGTCTATTCTGTTGACTGGCATAAAGGAAGTTCCAAGGCAATAAAATAATTGAACCAACAACGGTTCACTGATTGGTATGCAGAGAAGTAGTCAACAAACTTGAAGGCAAATGACAAGACAAAGGCTGTAGATCTGAGGAGTGAAGCCTATCTGCTATCCAAATTGTGCAGTGAGGCCATCTTGATGTCGATAGTCATTTTGGAGGCATAAATATGAAGTCTAATCAATGCGAACAAGTATGTGATGTTCTTAGATACCTTGAGTATTGTTAGGATAACATTTATCATGTTATCGGCATGTGGAACTAATCATGCTAATGGTGTTATCAGATGTATGAGTTCACATCAGTACCAAAGAATCTCCTCTACTCTTTGTAGCTTGTGTGTCATTTTTGTTTAAAGGCAATGTTTACACGAAAACATAAGCTTAAAACATGCCAACTCCATTTTGTTGCAGACGTAAGTGAAATCCAATTGGTTGAAAGGGACTGTAGTGGTTTGTAACAATAAGTGAAGAAAGGTACTTCGTGTTAAAAAGCCCTTTTATTCAGACCATGTGGTCAGCATGGTGGCCATCTTGTTACAACTCAAGGGGGAGCACTCTCGTTGGCTTAGCTGCTAGATACTGCTTGGGTATGACTAATTAATATAGATTAATGGACTTCTGTTGACATTAACACTTATCATTACATCTCCCTTTCTAAGTTGAAATTAACATTATATAAACTCTGAATTAAACTGGTAACAATGTAAACACTTTAAAGCCTGGCTAAGCACATCAACAATAGATAAGTTTAATTTCTTTTCTTTTCTTTTTTCTTTTTCAATGAGTGCTTAAAATGACACATCATGTCAAATTGATCATGTTCAGTTCCTTCCTGATGAGTGTCTCTTCTTGTCATTCAGTTTGCACATTTATGATGGCTTGCCATTCTCTTAACTTTAGAACTTAAATAAACTCAATTAAAGTCTCTGACAAAAACCTAGTCTACTGAAAATCAACTTCCGAAACATGAAACTTTTACAGTTCAGAATTCACACATCACTCGGTTTCGATCAGACGAGAAGGCTTGTTGATGACTCGGCCAGATCGTGTTGTAGTACCACTCTGCTGTGCTTCGGAAGTTGTCAAGCAAGTTGTAGTTGTTGTTGTTGCAGGCTGGTTATTTGTAATGCGAGGTGTGTTGTCATGAGGAGTAAGGAGGAGATCACGGCGATTTCGTCTCAGTCTTCCACCTCCCTCTGTTTGCACAAGGTAGGATCTTGGTGCTACCTTTTGCACTATTTTACCTTTTGTTTTCCAGTCATTACTTGTGTCTCGATACACTCTCACACTGCTACCTGGTTCTAACTGGGGTAGAGGTAGAGGAGATGCTTTCTGGTCGAAGTAGTACTTTTGTTCCTCTTTCGAAACCAGCTTGTGTTTGATGACTTGATCTGGATCAGGTGTACTTGACTGAAGGAGATCTTTCTTCAGTGGGAGATTTGACCTGATTGTCCGATTCATTAACAGCTGTGACGGAGAGAAACTACCAGCTAGAGGTGTGGTACGATAGGCGAGCAGTCCTAGATGAGGATCTTCCCCACTGTCAATGCACTTTTTCATGATGTTTTTGACAGTCTGGACTGTGCGTTCTGCAAGACCGTTTGACTGGGGGTATTTAGGACTAGATGTAGAGTGTTTAAAGTCCCATTCAACAGCAAAATCTGCAAATTCTGCACTCGCATAACATGGTCCATTATCACTGAACAGTTCAACTGGTGAACCATGTCTGGCAAATATGGATCGTAGTGCTTTGATGACGGCTTGGCTGGACTGATTTGGCAAAGCAATGACTTCTGGGAAGTTAGAAGTTAGAGTAACTAATAGATAGTCTTTTGAGTAGAGTTCAAAAAGATCAGTGGAGACATACTGCCATGGCTGAGTAGCTACTGGGTGAGGTGATAGTGGTTCAGGTTGATGACGATGACTATAGTTCAAGCACGTCTCACATCCACTTACCATGACATCTACGTCATGATTCATTCGAGGCCAGAATAGAACTTCTCTAGCTCTCTGCTTGCATTTTTCTTGACCCAGATGTCCTGCATGTATTTTCTGCAACATCAGTTTCCGCATACCTTTGGGCACGACGATGCGGTTGCCTTTGAAGACTACTCCGTCAATACATGAAAGTTCATCTCGATAATTCCAGAAATCATCCAGGTTTCTTGGGCACTGTGAATGTTCATTAGGCCAACCTGTCAAGATGATTGCTTTTAGAGCTGTCATTTCTGGATCTATGATGCTTTCTGCTCTGATCTGTGCGAATCTGTCGGTTGACACCTGCACTGTTGACAAGATACTGTCAACATACATTTGTACATCTGCTTCAGTTGTACTGGTGGGTGACTGATCACTAGGAAAGTTCCTTGACAGGGTATCTGCTGCATACATCTCTCGACCAGGAGTGTACATTACCTCCATGTCATATTTCTGCATGCGAAGACGGAAACGTTGAATGCGTGGAGGACAGTCATTCAGAGCTTTCTTGAAGATGGGAATCAGTGGTTTATGGTCAGTTTCTGCAAGAAACTTTCTCCCATACACATATTGATGGAACCGTTCAGCTCCAAAACACATTGCTAGTGCTTCCTTCTCGATCTGTGCGTAGTGAGTCTCTGCAGTGGTCATCGCCCTTGACGCATATGCTACTGGCATCCATGCATCTTCATGTTGTTGCAGCAGTATGGCACCAAGTCCATGTTTTGATGCATCTGTAGACACTTTGATGGGTTTCTTGGTATCATAGAATTGAAGAACCGGTCTTTGTGAGATGAGGTTTCGAAGTTCTTCCCATGATTTGTCCTGTTCATGAGACCAAGACCAATGACTGTCTTTTTCCAACAGCTGCCTAAGTGGTGCTGATTTTGTTGAGAGGTCTTGAATGTACCTTCCAAGGTAATTAACCATCCCAAGGAACCGTTGCAGTTCCTTCTTTTCTGTGGGTTTCTGAAGATCCATGATGGCTTTCACCTTGTTAGGGTCTGGTTTGAGTCCATCAGTAGAAATTCTATCTCCCAGGAAGGTAAGCTCTGTGACACCCACTTCACATTTCTCTCTATTCAATTTCAGACCACTGTCTCTACACTTCTGAAGTACTGCTTTCAGTCGCTCGTTGTGCTCTCTGGTGTCTTTACCAAAGATGATCATGTCATCCATACTGGTGTCTACACCCCTAATGTGCTCGAAGAGTTGATGTATGGTTCGATGATACACTTCTGGCGCACTTGAAATACCAAATGGGAGTCTGAGATAACGGTATCTCCCAAATGGTGTGTTGAATGCTGTCAGCATTGAGCTGGCATGATCTAGCTTCATTTGCCAAAAGCCTGAGGAGGCGTCCAGCTTGCTAAACACTTTAGCACCAGCAAACTGCGACATCACTTCTTCACGAGTTGGGAGTTTATAGTGTTCTCTCTGAACTGCTAGATTCAAATTGCGAGGATCTAGGCATATTCTCAATTTCCCTTGTTTCTTGTGCACAATCACCATCGAACTAACCCATTCAGTAGGTTCTGTAACCTCTGTGATCACTCCAAGTGATTTCATTCTGTTCAACTCTTCTTTAAGTCGATCATGGAGAGCAAATGGCACTTTTCTACAAGCTTCTATGACTGGTGTGACTCCTTTGTCCACTTTTATGGTATGTTCACCAGGCAAGCATCCAAGCCCTGTGAATACATCTTGATATTCACTTAGAATATCTTCTGGCTTTGTAGAATTCTGGCTGTTCAAATTTTTCTCATCAACATTGATTTCGTAAACTCTACGAACCAAGTTCAGTCTCTCACAATCCTCCACACCAAGGATACATCTATTGTTGTCTGGCGTTACCATGAATACAGTCTTGTATGGTTTACCTTTGTAGGTGACTGTGAGCTCTGCCTGTCCTTCAACAGGTATGTCAATTCCACCATAAGCTTTTAGGCTCATCTTAGGAGGTTCTAATGGTGGCTGGTATTTTAGTTTATTCCACTGTGACAAGCTGATGAGGTTCATGTCTGAGCCGCTGTCAAGTTTGAGGGGTACCTGTGTTCCATTTATGTTAAGTGACATCATCCAAGCCTTTGAGTTAGAGACCCTCTGACTGTCTGTATCCACAACATCAACGAAGAATTCTGCATCTTCTGGTGGATAATCACATGCTTCTGCATCAATATCATAGACACGTCGGGATCGACCTGAATGAGATCTACATTGTGTAGCAAAATGTCCGAGAAGACCACATTTCAAACACTTTAGACCAGATGCTGGACATTTCTGTTTTGGGGTATGATTTCTTCCACACCGTCCACAAAGCTCTTGTTTTACTGTTTCTTGTTTACTTGTTTGCTTGTAGTTCATTTTCTGTTTTGGTTTTGACTTTGGTTTGGATTTTATGTAATGAACTGCACAATCTTCACTTACTTCTTTAGCTTGACAACTTGCCATTTCTGCAGCACGACATGTGTCTATTGCTTTTGAAAGAGTTAATCTATCATCACGCAGTAATTTCTCTCGATAAGCACTGTTGTACACGCCACACACTATTCTGTCTCTAACCAAACTGTCTTTGAGTTGTCCAAATTCACAAGATTTAGCTTTTTGTTGCAATTCACTAACATACTGATCTATTGTCTGGTCTGACTTTTGTGAACATGTAAAGAATTTGTATCTCTCAAAAGTCACATTTTTTCTGGGAACACAGTACTGCTCAAATTTTTCTAAGATTTTTTCAACTTTCTGTTTATCTTCCTCTTCAGCCCATTCAAAAGAATTAAATACTTCTCTGGCATTTTCTCCAATGCAATGCAGCAATAAAGATGACTTGTAGACATCAGGTTTGTTTTTACCATCAACAGTAATGGTGTAGTAGCATTCCCATGCTTGCTTGAAACGGCGCCAGTTTTCACTCAAATTTCCAGCAAGTTCCAAAGGTTTGGGAGGCTCCAAGTTATTCATTATTGTTGTCAGTAACTTCTTTAGTGGGTAGACTTACTTCTGACACCATGTAGTGGTTTGTAACAATAAGTGAAGAAAGGTACTTCGTGTTAAAAAGCCCTTTTATTCAGACCATGTGGTCAGCATGGTGGCAATCTTGTTACAACTCAAGGGGGAGCACTCTCGTTGGCTTAGCTGCTAGATACTGCTTGGGTATGACTAATTAATATAGATTAATGGACTTCTGTTGACATTAACACTTATCATTACAGGGACCAACGTATGTTACGTCAAAATCAAGTTTGAAAAAGTCCAAAATAATGGCCAAAATAATTTGAGAGGAGAGACAGATGCTATTTTTTGCCAACAGGTGCAAACATTTTTGGCAATGTTCAAACACTCAAACATGTTTGCAACTGATGCTGACTTTGCGTGGAAAAACATTTTTAAGTTTCAGAATCAGTGTAGGAGGTGAGGTGAAATGGGGTTTAACGTCGCGTCCAAGATTATAGCACTTATATAGCAACGTGAGTGTGTTTGTGTGGCTGCTTGTACTAGTCCGGACTGATGCCGATTTATAGTGCTAGCTTACTGAGATACCATGCCGCAGTTTAACATGAATACCCCACTAATACACACTATACCGACTCTGAGCCGACCAGTCCTTGTTTTAGCCCATTAATGCCGAGCGCCAGATAGGGTAACAACAAGTACCATCTTTTAACGTCTTTTGGTATGACGCTGCCAGGGATCGAACACCGGACCTTCCACTCTCCGGGCGGATGCTGGACCACGGAGGCGGTTAATCAGTGTAGGAAAATCTCAAATTTCAGATTGTGAATCGTAAGAAACTGTTTCTGTATTTTCACCAACATTTGTATTTTCCAGGGGGACGACTATGTAATTTCTCTCCGTGTATTGAACAAGTCCAGAAAGCTTGTGAAGCTCTGTCAGAACATGGGTTCAAGGACCTCACAACGCTAGAGTGCCTCTTGCGAAACTTCAATGTCAGATCTGTCAAACTCCCATTGGCTGATCTTGGCCAATCAGAACTTGAGACACCAGACTCTGCTGAATGTGTATCAAACAAGGTCAAGGTCTCAAAGATGGATCACTCTATGGACAAAGAATCTGGTGTCAAGGAAGTAGCACAGCCTTTTAAGAAAGTAACCAAATGTGACTTGATTGGGAAAATGACAGAGAAAGACTTTGTTTTCCAGACAGGAGCACCCCCAGTCAACACTCAAGGTCACACAGGCTTCCTGACATTTGCAACATTGTATCCATCGTGAGATTTTATTTCATTGTGGATATCCTCACGCAAAAACTTCTACCATTGTCAAACAAGGAAAATGGCTGTGGCAGTCATCTTCCTAAGGCAAGAGAGTTAAATGACTTTAAAAATCCAGTTTCCACCCTTGCTGAACTAGGCTCGAATTTCCAGGCTTGATCAAAGCGCCACCAATCTCATTAAAATCAGATCTTAGTTCTCACTACCGCTAAACAAAGATCTGAGGACATCCCATTACGGGTCACGTCAGAACGACCTCTCGCGAACTTTGAACGATCAATGAAATGACTGAAAAGAAATCGACATTAGCCAATCAGAAGGCAGCTCTTTGAGCTTTACGACACTAGTTTCAAACTGGCGACTATGCTTCGAAACATATTTTGACATAGGCTCGGTTAGAAATTTTAAAACTGCTAAAAAGAACATTCTGGAATGGCTTACATATGGCCTAGATTGTATGAATAAATCATAAAACCCGTAACTGTCGTTCGGAATACCCCGTGTTAAATATTTCATGGTTGCAGGATCAGAAAACACATTCTGTCTTTCACTTTCATGATCTGGTAAGCGACGCTCTGATTGGTTGGATGAAAGGTCGTTCTGACGTGACCTGTAATGGGATGTCCTCAGATCTTTGTTTAGCGATAGCGAGAACTAAGATCTGATTTTAATGAGATTGAAGCGCCACCAGAGGAGATTACGAGTGAAGTCCCTTCCAGGCCTCTCCTATTGACCAATCAGATTCCACCTCTCGTATCACTTGCATTTGCTTAAAGCAAAATGACAGCGCCCAGTCAAGACGATCTGATCGATAATGAAGATCTATATTATGATAAAATGGGTCTTACTTCGCAAAATGCATCAAATCACATGGGCACCTAGATTAAAAACCTGAAAAGATTTCGAAAATATCTGTTGATGCCGAATTGGCGGTAAACATGCTTTGCAAATCCTGCAATCAACTGAAATCTGCATGACAGTTTACAAACCGGATTTCTATTTCGTTGAGTGATTGGACTCTGCATAGACTCGTTAGTCAAGCCAAAATGTAACTCCATAATACCAGCCTAGGTTGGCAAGGGTGGAAACAGGACTTTTATAGTCAGTTACCTCCCATGCCTCGGGAAGAAGGTGGCAGTGGGGGAATTCTTAGTTGTATTTAAGAATTGATTTCTATATTTTTCGTGGCTCGGATATTATCGGAGATATACATTGTCCCAGAAAATTCACGAAAAGTTGGATATTTTTTCAGTAAAACCCACAAAACCAGTTGTTATTTTTTTAAACTAATACCATGAGCCTAAATTTTTCCGCTAAAAAACACCTTGAAACAGTGTATTTTTTTGTCATATTTATGTCTCCAAACAAAATACCAAGTTCCCCCTCCCGTCATTTCGGAATATCAAATGGTTGGTCCCTAAGTAATACAGGATAATGTCCTGTTCGGGTAACTGTTGGGATTCCAGGTTAGAATGGGTCCACAGCAAGCCATGCTCATGGTCCGTGGCTTGGGTGCATGTCGCCATATCCTGACGGCGTAGATCAGCGCTCATAATATCGATCACTGAACTGTCTTGATTATTTATAGGGTGTCGTCATATGGCTGGAATACTGAGTGCAACGTTAAACAGAAAGCAAACGAACAAGATATACCTACAAAATGATAGAAATTTAAGCTTCTTTTTGCATTATTTTGCATAATCCTAAATTGATAATGGCTCAGTCCTTGGCCCACAGGTGGTACACACTACAGTCTGCATTAGATGTTTTGTTTGCCTATTTTCCACAATTGTTCCACGAAAAGAAAACTGGCACAACAGTTAATAAATTTCTACTCAAGACAGTAATGGTGTATTGTTTTGTTGTTCAAGTATTTTAGAGAAGCTTACCTAGAGTAAGTGATTGAGTTTTAAAGCTGCTTTTAGCAATATTCCAGCAATATCACAGTGGGGGACACCAGAAATGGGCTTCACACATTGTACCCATGTCGGGAATCGAACCCGGGTCTTTGGCGTGACGATTGAACGCTTTAACCACTAGACTACCCCACCGTCCCTCTTACCTAGAGCATGGAGGGGACATATATAGTTCACTAGAGGGTGGCTGAAAAGTTCTGAGCCTGCTGCCCTTCCATGGAATGGCCTTGACCCATGAACATCAATGTCAAAGACGGCCTTGGGTGAAGAACACGAAATCAGATTGTTTATTCAATGATGACAGTCATGCTGGGATGGTACTCAACAGTTGGTTGGTTGGTTGGTTGTTTAAAGCCACACTCAGCAATATTCCAGCTACATGATGTCAGTCTGCAAATAATCGAGCCAGGACCAGACAATCCAGTGATTGACATCATGAGCATCAATCCACACAATTGGGATCGATGGACATGCATCAACCAAGTAAGCGAGTCTGACCACCCGATCCCGTTAGTCGCCTCTTACGACAAGCATAGTCTCCTTTTACGGCAAGCATGGGTTGCTAAAGACCTATTCTCCCCCCTAATCTTCAATGGACGGGACAGGGATCATCATCCATCGCAATCTCCAGGGCCAGATTTCCAAGGATGACGTTTCCCCAACCCATGATGTTACCATTCCTTCGCCAGCAACTGGGTGAGGTGAAATGGGTTTTAACGTCACGTCCAAGATTATTGTACTTATATAGCAACGGGCAGGCATGTGTGTGTGTGTGGCTGCTTGTACTGGTCCGGACTGATGCCGATTTATAGTGCTAGCACACTGAGGTACCATGCCGCAGTTTAACATGAATACCCCACTCAGACACAGTATATTGACTCCGAGTCGACCAGTCCTTGTTTTAGCCCCCTAATGCCGAGCGCCAGACAGGGTAACAACAAGTACCATCTTTTAACGTCTTTTGGTATGACGCGGCCGGGGATTGAACCCCGTACCCTCCGCTCTACCACTAGACCACGGAGGCGGTTGCCAGACACAGGGCACGACACGCTAGGCCTCACACAGCAAGGGTCGTCCAGGATTTCTCTTCTCCTCACAACGCTGCAGTTCTTCAATGGCCAGTTCGCTCACCAGACTTAAACCCAATTGTGGTAGCATCTGGATCTTAAGGTCAGGTGTCCTGATCCACGACAGAACCGTCAACATTTGCAAGCCTCACAGAGGGACGAATGACAACAGATTTCCAATGACGTCATCAGGCGGCTGATGACATCGATGACAGTGAGTCTGGGCATTTATTATATACTTCAGTGTGAGTTTTCTAAAGAAAGTTATATTTTCATTGCAGTGAACATAACACTTGATAATTCACTGCTTTGAACATAACACTTTGAAGGAACTATTGTCATACAAGAGGGACCTCCCCTCAAATTGGCTCCCTTTAACGTAAGTGTCTGTGCCATTCACAAATTGCTGACTTCCTTTTTACGTTAGTTCAACACTTACAAGGCGAAATATGGACAGATGGTCGTTTATGGAGTTAATACAGCCTCACTGTGTTTGTTTTTCTCTTGAAAATGTTCCCTTATAAACTGTAAATTTCTCACTTAACTCATCAATCGAGACCGTTCGTTTTGCAAAGCCTCATTTTTGTTTCTTGACCAGCGTGTATTCTTTCGCTTCCAACAGCGGTCTCGAAGTTTTCAAGAAGATTTTTTTTGTTCAAGTTGATTTAGTATATAATCATATCTATATGTATGATACAGCATTTTTTCGCGACCCTAAATATTTTTTGTTGCTTTTGTTTATATTTTTTATGATTTTGCAAACACTAAACTACATTTTTATTTGCAAATACAAGGGGTGGTGACCCGTCCCTGTGTGTTGGCTAGGGAGAATTTACGTTTCAAAGTTTTACATTTGTAATGAAATAGATGACAACAGCTCGGGCATATATGCAGCTAAGTGTGTTTAGGTAGGTAATAAGTGGATTATCACAGTGAAGACATATCAAGATCATCTCAAGTTGATGTCTCTGAGAGAGAGAGAGAGAGAGAGAGAGAGAGAGAGAGACACCCCTTTAATGGAGAAATCTATTACAGAAAGCCACCCCTTATGGAGAAATCCATTACAGAAAAGCCACCCCTTGTGGAGAAATCCATTAAAGAAAAGCCACCCGTTATGGAGAAATCCATAACAGAAAAGCCACCCGTTATGGAGAAATCCATTAAAGAAAAGCCAACCCTTGTGGAGAAATCCATTACAGAAAAGCCACCCCTTATGGAGAAATCCATTACAGAAAAGCCACCCCTTATGGAGAAATCCATTAACAGAAAAGCCACCCCTTGTGGAGAAATCCATTACAGAAAAGTCAGTATCAATGACAACAAAGCCAGCATTAAAAATGTCAAGCTAAGTTGAAAAAGTAACACAACAACATGCCTCAGCGGAAATATTTAATGAGAGTTTTATCAATATAATCTTCCCACAGTGGAGTGAAACTATGTACACATGAAACCAGACATGCAACATCTAATATATACAGAGACGCCATCCACCCACAGACAGACACACACCGCTCAGCAGCTACCGGGAACACTCCGTGTAGCCTGGAGATCTGTCAGGACAGTATAGCAGAGAATACATACAATCAACCCAGTAATACTCCGTGACATTACCACTGAAATAATTAGGCCACACAGTTCTTAATTTTCGTTTCACGGGCCCGCTGCCCCTACTGAAAACCATCCGGTCCAGTAAAAAATTAAACACATTTATTAATTTTTATTATGTCTCCCGCTAGTAATATAGACCCTCTTATACACTAAAACATACTCTATATAACTTCCATGTCAACATCACTATCAGTGATTCAAGAGACAGTTTTAACTCCTCGACAGAACGACTTTCATATCAGCAAAGAAATAAATGATTGACATAGCTATTTATTTAATTTTGACCGACCTTGTGCGGAGAAGCTGGAATAACTCCGTGAAACAATAAATTAAGAAAGTGTGGCCTTTCAGACAATTACCACAACTTATATTTTTTCAGGTTATCAAGCCACAAACCACGAAAACAACTGTTAAGCAACCTACTTAAACCTTTCTATTGAATTAGAAATAAATGATTTAACAATGGTTAATTATTTTATTAATAACAGAATGCTGAGAACAAACTTGCATCTGAAAGAAGTGATACTGCAACCGTCAGTACCACTGCAACTGTCAGTACCGCTGCAACTGTCAGTACCGCTGCAACTGTCAGTACCGCTGCAACTGTCAGTACCACTGCAACTGTCAGTACCACTGCAACTGTCAGTACCACTGCAACTGTCAGTACTACTGCAACTGTCAGTGCCGCTGCAACTTCAGATTTCCAGTTACAGTTTTAGTGTAAGAACACAGTCCAACACAATGTCTGCTAAACACATCCAATTTAAAATATTTTAACTCTCACAACAAAGTAACTAGTCCGTGAAAACAATAAACCACAAAAGCAAAAAAATGTGGCCTTCATAAATGTTATCTTAAATATTATGTGAAATATATAATTGCCCTTGCAAGTCTTACATCATCTTCAGGAGTCAAGGGTGTTGACTGACTGTATAAGTCCACTTTCCACCCTTGCCAAATTAGGCTGGAATTTCTGGGCTTAACCCAGTGTGATAACAAGTTATGTCCCTTCTATGACCCTCCTACTGACCAATCAGATTTTTCCTATCATATCACTTGCTTTTGCTTAAAACAAAATGGCCACGCCCGGTAAAGACTATCTGATGATCGATAATAAAAATCTATATTGTAATAAAACGGGTCATACTTCGCAATATGCATCAAATCACATAATCACCTTGATAATAAACATGAAACGATTTGGAAAATATCCGTTGATGGCGAATTGGTGGTACACTCGCTTTGCAAATCCAGCTTATGAACCAGATGTCGATTTCATTGCGCGATTTGGATTGGACTATGCATAGACTAGTCAAAATGTAACTCCATAATTCCAGCCTAGTTTGGCAAAGGAGGAAACTGGACTTTTATAGTCAGTTAACTCCCTTCACCCGGGAAGATGGTCTTGCATACCTTTTATCAGACATTTAAAACAAATCTGTGATAAATACAGCATCAGTTGATGTTTGAGAAGCAGTACGTACATCATTCACAGACTACACTATAACTGAAGGAATAAAGTCACATACTGTGGATATGTCAGTACTCATTCACAGCAACAGAGAGTGACACTTCGATTACACGAACCAGAATTCCGTGCACCCCTGGATTATACAAGGGAAACATCATAATAATCATATTTGATGGCGTAGCTGGTCTGCGGAGGATGTAGCTGAACATGCATGGCACACACTGGTTCAACGCATCCAGCCATCTCATAGACACAGAACATATTATGCATGTAACAGTCACACAACGAAACAAATATACACTACAGACACCGAAATGGAGTATTGGGTTCAAATTCTGATATGATGAGCTTACCAACAAAGTTTAGCGATGATAATTATCATTTCAACAATACCATATCGGTTTACAAGTCACACAATCCCAAAGCACACAAAAAGTAGCCAGATAGTTCTTCCTGTAACACAATGGCCCTGTGGATATATACAGTTGTCAAAAGCCATATATTTCAACAAACATATATTGTTGACTCTTCAATAAAGTGTTCAATATTTTGAATACAATAATTACAAAGCTTGTCTTGACCACTACACCAGCAGGAGTTGATAAAGGCTTACATTCTTGACTCATCCAAAAACCTTTTCATAATTAAATGACAAAAACAAACCAAAATTGCAAAGTATGGGAAGATGGGCTTCATCTTGTTTGACTGCTTGACCAGAAGCTTCAAGCATTGTGTGAGAGCAAGCGAGTGAGTGAGTGAGTGGATCCTTGTCCAACTTACAGCATCATTCCAGCCATATCATGCCAGGCTCCACACAACCCACCCATGTGGTCAAATCATCCCAGTGTTCCCATGACGACCACAACGCGACCCCGAGGTCACAGTATTCCAGTTATATCGCGGCGTGTCAGCTTAATGTGGGAGGAAAGCCCGAAGTGATGCAGGTCTCAGACGTTTACCACTTCAGTGAACCCACGAGCACAGGTATGGGGCTGACAAACCTAGAAACATAATCGGGGCAAACTTTGATTCGAACCCACAATCATAGGTTTCTGGCGTGACCAAGGGACCTACTCTGCACAGTTAATCACGGCGCCTTAGACGACTGGGCCACCCGTGCCCCCACATGGCCGACTGAACACATCGTTATGATACAGACTACCCCGTCAGCTGGCAGTCAGCTGGAGACGTGCGACACTGTACATATTTACACAGCCCAACAAAGACAACACCACTCTACTTCACCGAATCTTTCAGATGGCCTTGTATATACCATAAATATAGTCCTCAATGCATCATCAATGCACAACTGAATGTGAAGTTAAATTTCCCCAAATACCAACGCATTGTACAATCTGAATATGGATGGTTTTATTTTAAACATGTAGAAAACAAAGCGTTTTGGACACAAAAAATGTGGGTCAAATTGGCTGAAAAGTATTTCCAATGACAAAACATAAATTCAAACACTGACATTGATTTCAGCCAACAAATATCTAATTCTGCTACATAATGAAATTGAATAAAAAATAATTTCCAAGAGATTTGACAATTTGGACAATAAGACCCAACTACCAGAACCACAGCGTACAACCTAGGAATGCTATGTCTGATTAATACATCTGGTGAAAGAAGGAGGGATGAAAGCCAGTGGTTTCAAAACTTGTCGTTTCACAAATACTGTACAAAAAATCATAAGGCAAAGACAACAACAAAATGACAATCACGACAGACCACAGGGCGCGCCATGACCTGTTAAAGTTGGTAGATTCAGGCTAATTAACATTTTAATTGGGTGTAAAAGCATTTGCTACCGCCTTGTACATCACATCTGTAGTGGCATCCTGTAGGATGCTGTGGCAGCTGTGCAGCCAATGTAGTATAGCTGTAGCATAGCTGTAGTATAGCTGTAGTGTTTCTTGTTTCGGCAGCCAATGTAGTATAGCTGTAGTATAGCTGTAGTGTTTCTTGTTTCGGCAGCCAATGTAGTATAGCTGTAGTGTTTCTTGTTTCGCCAGCCAATGTAGTATAGCTGTAGTATAGCTGTAGTGTTTCTTGTTTCGGCAGCCAATGTAGTATAGCTGTAGTATAGCTGTAGTGTTTCTTGTTTCGCCAGCCAATGTAGTATAGCTGTAGTATAGCTGTAGTGTTTCTTGTTTCGGCAGCAGATCAAACACATATACACATCAAACAAAGGGAAACAATGCAGTAGGGGAAACAACACAGTAGGGGAAACAACACAATAGGGGAAACAGGACATTATTTACAACATAAACAAAAATGGCACTGACTTCTAAAAATTGTCACAAGTTTGACATGACAAGATAAATTGTTCTCAAATCAATTAAATATCTTATTCACAAAGTACACTAGCCATGATATTGCTGCTCTGCTCTGAGTGACTTATGCACTTGATAATCAGATTTCAAAACTTTCTGCCTCTCGGGGTTTTTTTTAACAAAGAAATGCTTGTCATAGTTTTCACACTGAATGTGATTTCTCCCAAGCTTCAGCTGACAAGACAATCCACTATAAGTTGATTACTTCATCTTCATTCATTGTTTTCAAAAGTTTGAGATGGGAGGTACCTCATTTTTTATGTTTGCTACTTGTGATGAACTACTCCAAAGTCCTACCCAAAATCAATCTTATTAAAATCAGACCCTTCGCTCTCTGATTTGATGAGATTGACCAAACATAAAAGCTTCATGTGAATCGCATCCGTCAAATTTAATGTATACCATGTACACACATCTTGAACATTTTGTTTTAAATAAATATATTTTCTTTGCCTGTAGGAACTTGGGGCAAAAAGTACCGTTTCCGACGTAATAAGCGCCCCGCTCTAATAAGCACCCACTGCGATATTTGCTGATATACTGGCTAGTGAATAGGCCCAATTAGTATCCCATCCGATTGATCAATGTACACAAGACTTATTTATTCGGTATAATACGTGTGTTATATGCACCCTTATTTATGGGCAATTAAATTCTGGAATAATATATGTCGTACATAAACATTTCAGGCTGTCAGCACAAACCACGAAATATATCTTTCAACTATGGTTTTTTTCCACCATAATAATATTCTATTAAGAGCCCCCTATTTCTAATTTTGAGAGCGCCCTGGGCATTTATTACGTCGAATACGGTAGTAGTGATGGGCAGAGATGAAAATCTAATAATTAATCGATCATGGAATACCGTCTTTTGTCTTTCTAACTCACCAACAGGTAAGTCCACTATACCTTTAAATCCTGCTCCTCCTGACAGAAACGCTAACAAGTCTGTCTCAAACAGGTCTGGACATTCTTTCCTTAAAATATATTCTAGTTTAAAGTGTCCACTGATCGCCCATACATAACAAATATTTCTTTTATTTCATATATATTATGAAGAAGCTAAAATAACACACACAAAACAGGCATTTGACACAAGAGTTTGAACAAATTTGAACAACAAAACATTCCCTGACCAAGTGATTGGATATTTCAATATTTTTTGTATCTCTGTGTCAAATATATTTTTTGTTTCTCTGTGTCAAATATATTTTTTGTATCTCTGTGTCAAATTTTTTTTTTTTTATCTCTGTGTCAAATGCCTGTAAGCTTACTAACCTGGGACATTGGAACATGTATGCTGTTATAATGGACAGGTGGAAGTACCGTGCTTCACAGTGACAAGACTCTCACACAACACACAGCGATGACATCCCACACTTTGCACAGCCGACAAGTGGATTACAAACTCTTACACGTTACATCTGTTTCAACATGGACACCAACTGCGATGATGTCATGAAGCAATTACACATCGATAACAGGGTTTGGATTATAATACATATGCTCCCTTTTCACCAAATTAGTTACTATTCACAGGCTATAGGATTAACAGCATACTATGAGTATTTGTCCCAAGTCTGGAGGCTATAAAACCCCATTCACAGCATACAGCCCCATTCCGAGCATACAGCCCCATTCAATGAGAAGTTCGACATTTGACCAAGATGAGGTGTCCGTCATTCACCCGCAGTTAAGCCAATCTGATTCAGACACAAACATGCAACTAGCGCCATCTATACACAGACCCTACTGACGACACTACAGAGCAGTTGTTGGAAATAGCATCTGGAATCCAGCATTTCGATTGGTCCCTGGTAATTGTATTCTAAGATCGAGTTCTACGAGGACAGCTCTCTCAAAACCTAAAATGTTCCTAGCACATGTCCAGAGAGGCTCTAGTATCAGGTACCCAGCACATGTCCAGAGAGGCTCTAGTATCAAGTACCCTGCACATGTCCAGAGAGGCTCTAGTATCAGGTACCCAGCACATGTCCAGAGAGGCTCTAGTATCAAGTACCCTGCACATGTCCAGAGAGGCTCTAGTATCAGGTTCCCTGCACATGTCCAGAGAGGCTCTAGTATCAGGAACCCTGCACATGTCCAGAGAGGCTCTAGTATCAGGTTCCCTGCACATGTCCAGAGAGGCTCTAGTATCAGGAACCCTGCACATGTCCAGAGAGGCTCTAGTATCAGGTTCCCTGCACATGTCCAGAGAGGCTCTAGTATCAGGAACCCTGCACATGTCCAGAGAGGCTCTAGTATCAGGTTCCCTGCACATGTCCAGAGGCTCTAGTATCAAGTACTCTGCACATGTCCAGAGAGGCTCTAGTATCAGGTACCCTGCACATGTCCAGAGAGGCTCTAGTATCAGGTACCCGGCACATGTCCAGGGAGGCTCTAGTATCAGGTACTCTGCACATGTCCAGAGAGGCTCTAGTATCAGGTACCCTGCACATGTCCAGAGAGGCTCTAGTATCAGGTACCCGGCACATGTCCAGGGAGGCTCTAGTATCAGGTTCCCTGCACATGTCCAGGGAGGCTCTAGTATCAGGAACCCTGCACATGTCCAAAGAGGCTCTAGTATCAGGTACTCTGCACATTTTACTAATGTCAGCACTATCTCATAACCTTGCCCTAAGGAACCCAACTGTGATAATAATCAAACTCCCTCCAAACATTGCACCACAAATATTCAGCATTTTTAAAAGGGAGGGCTCCAAAATCATCTCTCAGTCAATTTCACTGCCTACAACATACTACATTTGGTTTTCAAAAGGGGATTTGACTTAGCAGATAAACAAACTGGATTTTGAAGACATGAATGCAACTTTCTAGGAATACCAATTGGCCTGGCGTGGTACCCCTTCAAAGTTATACTATTTGATGATGTTTGTACATGTTGGTGCTAAGCACTACATAATCCCAGAATAAGCCCAGGGCTCATAATGCACAAAACAGCTCCCATCATGGAGGCATTCAATGATTCAGGGCAGATCTGGAGGTGAAGGATCTTGCAGTGAAAACATTCAGAAGACAGAAGACTCTACAGTCCTTGTGAACTGGTTGGACAGAAGGATCAATATACAGACTAGGGCTGGGACGAGTCCAAATTTACTACCTGGGTACCTGACCCCCTATTACCCGACCCTACGCGGGTAGCCACTGCAGGTCTCAAGAGTTGGGAACAAAATGTCTGACGGGTAATTGTTTTACTGCAGCCCTGCAAAAACTATTTAGATAAATGTATCAAACAATCAGCAACCAGACCACTGTCACTAAAGTGGACTGAAGCTTTATCTTAACTCAAACATATACAAGTCATAAGGAATGTGTGTGCATCGTCAGAAAGAAATGCAAAAATTAGCGACTTGTAGTGTAACCACTGAGCTATAGTGAGTTTTTGTCATTAAACAATATATCACGTGACTAACAACGGGGCTGGGTAGTCCTGTGGGTAACCGGGTCCTACTCAGGACCCACCCGACAAGTACCCGAGTTACCCATCCCAGCCCTAAGATAGACATAACCTCAGAGCCAATATAACCTGTAGTGCTACAAACTGATAGTAATATTTGACCCGCATGTACTCTACATGCCAATATCTTCCCAGATGTTGATTCCTCAACATCCAGGTCTTCGTCTTCGTCTTCGTGTCAAGCCTCATCCTAAATAGCTGTTCACATGAACATGGTACTTATCACAGCAGAGGAAAGAACAAGCAGAAGAGATAGGGCAGTTCGGGAGGGAGACCACCTGTAACAGAGGTCGTGGCCACTAACACTTTTGTGGAACCAACTAGCACGGATACATAGCACTGACAGACCAAGACCAATGATCAGGGGAAGTTTTACAACTCAATCTTACACATTGTGTGACAATAACAGACACTTGATAAATATTCTAAGCTGGTAGTGATTAGTAGTGGGACGATACACCGGTGCATTTGTGGATCGTGATTTTTCAAGTATACAAGTATCGATCACAATGACACTAAAAGTAAAAAGTATCGATTCTTCACTTAAATTTATTCTTTAATGAATGTTATACCAAACACTATGTACTAGTGAAAAAGATCAGAAAAAATGTAAAAAAATTCATCCACTGCGCCATACTTGACACTGCCAAGTGCCAGGCATTTGGCCATACTGTCTATGACAAAGATGCTTACGCACCACAGACTAGAGCACATGCAAGTATCGTGATATGTATCGGATCGTACAGTTGTTGTATCGTCCCAGTCCTAGTAGTGATTGAATGTTGTTAAACGTCTCCATCACGGATTGAACTTGTGCCAAAGATCTATTTCAGAAGTCTACTCAACCATCTCAGCATGCTGAGTGTGATTGTGATGGCCTACTCATACGCACAACCTACCACACAGTCAACGAGATCTGCTTGCCAAACTGGCCGTATCGTTCTTACCCTGGCCATGATCATTGACTTTAAATATGGTGAAATGTGATGCCTAAAGCACCATAGCAAACTCGCCCCCTAGACCCTCTCCTCGCCCCCCTCCCAAAGAAGATGAATGACAGCCTGGAAGTGGTGCAGTATATACAGTTGATGTCTCGCAAGGATTGGTGTCGTTCACACTTGACGAGTTAGATAGCCCTCTACTCCATCTTGGAAATCTCAAAGTGCGTGTTCTGTAGTTCTTCATCCGAGTCCAGGAGGCTTGGCAGGGCTCTACACAACAGAAAGAGGGGGAGATGGTGGTCAGTGGGCTGCATTATATCTGCCCGTATTGACAGAACACTCAGCATTGTGGGTAACTTGTGGCCACGATAAATGTACCGTATTCGACATAATAAGCGCCCGCTCTAATAAGCTCCCAGGGCGATATTTGCTAACATACTGGCTAGTGAACAATCCCAATTGCCACCCTTCTGATTGATCACTGTACACAAGACTTATCTTTTCGTGTATAATACGCACTCGTGTGTTACATGCACCCTTAATTATGGACAATTAAATTCTGGAAAAATATATCTGTCGTACATAAACATTTCAGGCTGTCAGCATAAATTACGAAATTTATCTTTTAACTCTGTTTTTTTCACCAAAATAATATTCTAATAAGAGCCCCCTGTTTCTAATTTTGAGAGTGCCCTGGGCACTTATTACGTCAAATACGGTATTCCAGGTGCTTCTACCTTAAATCAGTCTTGAAGCCCCTAAAGCATTCCTACTTTTGTCAAAATGGACATGACATGACAGTCATTACTAAATGAAGAGCAGATTTTAGAAACGTCTTTGCTGGGGTTTTCCAGTGGTTTCAGAGGAGATAGCCAAAGAAAAAATTAGATTAACAGGGGTTTGTTTGCTTGTTTGTTTGCTTGTTAGTTTGTTGTTTAACGCCTCACTCAGCAATATTCCAGCTATATGACGGTGATGTGTAAATAATCCAGTCTGGTCCTGACAACCCAGTGATTGATATAACAAGCATCGATCCACTCAATTGGGATACGATGACATGCATCAAGCAAGTCAGCAAGCCTGACCCCGCGATCCCATTAGTCCCCTCTTACGACAAGCATAGTCGCCTTTTACAGCAAGCATGGGTTAGTGATGATGGAAAAACCAAATGCTCATACCACAAACATACTGCATGACAGATTTTGATAAAGAGGTGAGGTGAAATGGGGTTTAACGTTGCATCCAAGATTATTGCACGATGTATGCGTGTGTGTGCGTGTGGTTTTTTTTTTGCTTGCTTGCACTAGTCCAGATTTTAGATACCATGCCGCACTTTAGCATGAATCCCCCATTCAGACACAGTATACTGACTCCTAACCAACCAGTCCTTGTTTCAGCCCCTTAATGCCGAGCCAGACAGGGTAACAACAAGTGCCATCTTGTAACATTTGTTGGTATGACGTGGCCTGGGATCGAACCCCGGACCTTCTGCTCTCTGGGCGGACGCTCTACCACTAGACCACGGAGGCAGTCTTTTAATAACGATACGTGCAGCAGTGGCGGAGTGATGGCGTTTGAGTCAAATAGGAAACACGTAAGCTTTGTTGCAGCAACATCCAAGGGTGCACTGGTCATTTCACGGAAAGCAGAAAACAAAGTTTCTCATGTGCTCATAACTGGAGTTGTACTGCCGGAGAAAGACCATTTCAGCATTTGTATTGGCCACAAGACAAGACGAAAACTGTAGTGAGTTTTCTCCTGAAGTCTGGTTGACAGCTTGTCAAAACAGCATCAGTGTGCCGTGGTACAAAACAACCGATGTGCTTGTCAATGTTAAGGTATGGGAGTTATGATCACCTTAGCGCTAAGATCGGTTTGTACAACAGCACCCAGGACTATATATATATATGGATTGGTTGGGTTTAAGTGAATGTGTCTAACCCTGCTGATGTTGATGGAGGGATTTTTGTTTTATTTGTTTGTTTGTTTGTGCCACACACAGCAAAATTCCAGGTACAGTCGTGCCTCGTTTATACGGACAATTGCGTCATTTCACAATTCGTCCGTATAAACGAATTTCCGTATAACTGAAACCAGCTTCTTACTGGAAGAGTTACTTCCCTGTCCCTTGTCATGTCACACAACAAAAGATATAATGCATCTTCCATCGTCTGGTGTTTTGCTACACGGGATCCTGATAAGTCATTTGAATTTTCCGGGAGATTTAGCCACTTCTGTTTGTCTTTCAAAATGTCACCAATTGTCGATTTTCCTATGGTATGTCCAAATTCAGTGCCATAATGCTTACTGATGGGATTACATGTACAATAAACAAGCCCATCTCAATCGTAACTCAGTGTCACTTGGTTAATTGTCTTCTCACGAATCAAAGGATTACCACCGGCGGAAGGATTACCACCAGTGGAAGTGTATTGTCCGGGTAAGTGAGACAATTTTGTGTGCATTTCAGTGTTTTGTGTATGAAAATGACCATCCGGTTCCGGAAACTGAATTTCCGATTATACGGGTAAATTTATATAGTTATTATTTCGTTTTGAATGAAAATCGTCCGGGAACCCAAGGTTTCCGGATATCTGAAGTCCGTATAAGCGGAGCATGACTGTATACGACGGCAGTCAGTAAATAATCGAGTCTGGACCAGACAGTCCAGTGATTGAAATCATGTGCATCCATCTTCACAATTTGGATACAATGACATGCATCAACCAAGACAGTGCGCCTGACCACCCGATCTTGTTAGTCGCCTCTTACGACAAGCATGGGTTACTGAAGACCTGTTCTAACCCAGAATCCTCACGGGACGTTGGCGGAGAGGTAACTTACTTGTCAGACAGCGATGATGGGATGTTCTCTTCAACCCATCTTAGGTCATCATCCTGCAACAATCACCACAGACCATGTGGAGTGAGTGAGTAACACAAGAGTGAGAGAATGACACAATTATATGCCACTCTCAGCAATATTTCAGCCATGGCATGAAATTGCACACAGAGAGCGACACAATTTTATGCCACTCTCAGCAATATTTCAGCCATGGCATCAAAGTGCACAAGAGTGAGAGAGTGACAGATTTATGCCACTCTCAGCAATATTTCAGCCATGGCATCAAAGTGCACAAGAGTGAGAGAGTGACAATTTTATGCCACTCTCAGCAATATTTCAGCCATGGCATGAAAGTGCACAAGAGTGAGAGAGTGACAGATTTATGCCACTCTCAGCAATATTTCAGCCATGGCATCAAAGTGCACAAGAGTGAGAGAGTGACAATTTTATGCCACTCTCAGCAATATTTCAGCCATGGCATCAAAGTGCACAAGAGTGAGAGAGTGACTGATTTATGCCACTCTCAGCAATATTTCAGCCATGGCATCAAAGTGCACAAGAGTGAGAGAGTGACACAATTTTATGCCACTCTCAGCAATATTTCAGCCACATCATAGTCAATCGGCTGACATTTAGGATAGACATGATGGATACTGACCACTGATTTTGACCTGGAGTCCTTCTGCTTTGGGGATCCGTTGGAGTAGGTCTTGGTCCTCATCTTCATTCCATCTACAAAAGCAGTTCAGGACATGTACACATGAAATGAACATGTTCATAGGATGGATGTATGGTAGCTCTTCCTATCATGGGTATCTTGCAATATGGCTGAAGGTGTCTGCGCTTGTAAGTACTCTACTAGCCAACCATAACGTTCTTGTGAGATGAAATGAGGTTTAACGTTGAGTCCAAGATTATTGCACTCATATGGCGATATGCATGCATGTGTGCATGTGTGCGTGTGTGTGTGTGTGTGTGTGTGTGTGTGTGTGTGTGTGTGTGTGTGTGTGTGTGTGTGTGTGTGTGTGGCTGCTGGTACTTGTTCGGACTAATGCCAATGTTATAGTGCTAGCTCAGTGAGATGCATGCCGCAGTTTAACATGAGTGAGTGAGTTGGGTTTAACGCCGCTTTTAACATTATTCCAGTTATATCACGGCGTGTCAGCTTAATGTGGGAGGAAAGCCCGAAGTGATGCAGGTCTCAGACGTTTACCACTTCGGTCAAACCCACGAGCACGGGTATGGTGCTGACAAACCTAGAAACATAATCGGGGCAAACCGGGATTCGAACCCACAATCATAGGTTTCTGGCGTGCCCAAGGGACGCAACTCTGCACAGCGAATCGCGGCGCCTTAGACGACTGGGCCACCCGTGCCCCCCAGTTTAACATGAATATCCAACTCAGACACATGTTGATTCCGAGTCGACCAGTCCTTGTTTAGCCCCATAATGCCGAGAGCCACCAAGGTAACCAGAACCATCTTTTAACATCTTTTGGTATGACGCGGCCAGGGATCGAAGCCCTGACCTTCCGCTCTACCACAAGACCAGGGAGGCGGTCTCTCTTGGAAGTACTCTACAAGCAAATCATGACATTCTGTAATTACAGCCATGTTATCTGACTCACCGAAGGCATCATTCATGACAGTGTCGTCATCTACATCGTCCTCAGCAGCATCCAACAGCGGGGAGAAGGCATACCTGGTGACAGAACATCATACACTCATCACTACAACCAGATGAGCCCACAATCATAGGATCCTGGCATGCATAAGGGAAACAACTCTGAACAAGCGTATAGTTGACGAAGTCATCTATATCTCCCGCCATTTTAACACGTTATGGTCCCAAAACAGGTAACTGAGCCAACATTTCTCTTAGGCCATGTCAAAATAGCTGCAATGGAAATTCTAAAATAAACATTTATAAAACTCCTAAATAGCAAAAGGCACTAGTTCAGTATGCAATTTATATATAGACATGCAATGTTTGGTAAGGAAATATTTAAGTTTATTTGTTATACTCCTTAAGTAAACCAATCCTATATTAAAACTTAAATCCAACTTGTTGTCATGGAAACATAAACAATAAAAATTTCTAAAAGTGCTATATATCAAAAGGCACCAGTTCAGTATGTGCCTAGTAGACATGCAAAGTTTTGTAAGAAAGTATTTAACGGTTTTTGAGTTACGCTCCAGAAACGAACAGCACCCTTATAGAACCTAAGTCCAACTTATTGCCATGGAAACGTAAAACATAAAAATTTATAAAATTCCTAGATAGCAAAAGGCACCAGTTCAGTATGTGTCTGGTAAACATGCAAAGTTTTGTAAGAAATTATTTAACGGTTTTTGAGTTACGCTCCGGAAACGAACAGCACCCTTATAGAACCTAAGTCCAACTTGTTGCCATGGAAACGTAAAAAATAAAAATTTATAAATTCCTAAATAGCAAAAGGCACCAGTTCAGCATGAGTCTGATAGACATCCAAAGTTTCGTAGAGAAATATTTAACGGTTTCTGAGTTATGCTCCGGAAACGATTTCGGGACGCACACACGCACACACGCACACACGCACACACACACACACACACACGGACGGAACCCATTTCTATATCCCCCGCCAACTTCGTTGGGGTGGGGGATAACAATGAATTGTGGAAAATTGAGTGCCCACTCAAGTGCAAACAACCAGAGGAAATATCCAACCAAGGTTAAAATCCACTGTCAGCATGAAGGAGCAGATCTGCAGGTCCATAAAAATCCGGGGTAGAATAGGACTTCAGTAACCCATGCTTGCCGTAAAAGGCAACTATGCTTGTCATAAGAGGATTGGGTGGTCAGGCTCGCTTACTTGGTTGATGCATGGATTGATGCTCATGATGGCAATCACTGGATTGTCTGGTCCAGACTTGATTATTTACAGACCGCCGTCATTTAGCTGGACAAACAAACAAACAAACAGTCGTGCTGCATGTGCCTCGTACCTCTGGTTGTTGGCTGTGGGTCTCCACAGGATCATGATGATGAGAAGCAGCACAGAGAAGAGCAGGTGCCAGAATGCCTCGTCCACCCACAGCTCACGCCAGTCCTACAACATCGGACAACACTCATCAACCTTAGCTTCTGGAAACACCTTAAAGCTCACGCCAGTCCTACAACATTGTACAACACTCATCAACCTTAGCTTCTGGATATCCAAAACATCTAATCATCTTTACACATTAAAGCTCACGTGGGATATTTTCTAGTTTTTCAAGTTCTAAATTATTGGTTCTGTTCTCGATGTTCTCTTAGCCAGTTTATTTTATAATATACTCATCGCCAAAAGAAATGCCGACCATATAAACATATAGAGGAATATGTACGTTAAGAAGACATGTTTCCAATGTGTACCACTTAATGACAAAACTAACAATCAGTCAAGTGTTACCACAGAGTGTCTTTATTCTTATCCCGATATGCTGCACGTGATATCCAAACTTTAGACGCTATTCCTGCACAAGACTAATGGTGCATCTCAAGTCATAGTTGTGTGATGCATTCATGAGCGTCAGTTCAAACAACATAACACTATATTCGTTTGTGCATTAAACCAATCTAATGTCTCTTGAATATGAGTAATTCTCCGTATTTTAACCAACCATATATGGTATTCGCCTATCATTTGTCAGTCCTAATTGTGATCAGCGACTATCATTTGTCAGTCCTTATTGTGATCAGCGACTATCATTTGTCAGTCCTTATTGTGATCATTGACTATTATTTGTCAGTCTTTATTGTGATCAGCGACTATCATTTGTCAGTCCTTATTGTGATCAGTCCTTATTGTGATCATTGACTATTATTTCTCAGTCCTTATTGTGATCAGCGACTATCATTTGTCAGTCCTTATTGTGATCAGCGACTATCATTTGTCAGTCCTAATTGTGATCAGCGACTATCATTTGTCAGTCCTAATTGTGATCATTGACTATCATTTGTCAGTTCTTATTGTGATCAGCGACTATCATTTGTCAGTCCTAATTGTGATCAGCGACTATCATTTATCAGTCCTTATTGTGATCAACGACTATCATTTGTCAGTCCTTATTGTGATCAGTGACTATCATTTGTCAGTCCTTATTGTGATCAGCGACTATCATTTGTCAGTCCTCATTGTGATCAGCGACTATCATTTGTCAGTCCTAATTGTGATCAGCGACTATCATTTGTCAGTCCTGATTGTGATCAGCGACTATCATTTGTCAGTCCTTATTGTGATCATTGACTATTATTTGTCAGTCTTTATTGTGATCAGCGACTATCATTTGTCAGTCCTTATTGTGATCAGCGACTATCATTTTTCAGTCCTTATTGTGATCATTGACTATTATTTCTCAGTCCTTATTGTGATCAGTGACTATCATTTGTCAGTCCTTATTGTGATCAGCGACTATCATGTGTCAGTCCTTATTGTGATCATTGACTATCATTTGTCAGTCCTAATTGTGATCAGCGACTATCATTTGTCAGTCCTGATTGTGATCAGCGACTATCATTTGTCAGTCCTTATTGTGATCATTGACTATTATTTGTCAGTCTTTATTGTGATCAGCGACTATCATTTGTCAGTCCTTATTGTGATCAGCGACTATCATTTTTCAGTCCTTATTGTGATCATTGACTATTATTTCTCAGTCCTTATTGTGATCATTGACTATCATTTGTCAGTCCTTATTGTGATCAGCGACTATCATGTGTCAGTCCTTATTGTGATCATTGACTATCATTTGTCAGTCCTAATTGTGATCAGCGACTATCATTTGGCAGTCCTTATTGTGATCAGCGACTATCATGTGTCAGTCCTTATTGTGATCAGCGACTATCATTTGTCAGTCCTAATTGTGATCAGCGACTATCATTTGTCAGTCCTTATTGTGATCAGCGACTATCATTTGTCAGTCCTTATTGTGATCAGCGACTATCATTTGTCAGTCCTTATTGTGATCAGTGACTATCATTTGTCAGTCCTTATTGTGATCAGTGACTATCATTTGTCAGTCCTTATTGTGATCAACTATCATTTGTCAGTCCTTATTGTGATCAGTGACTATCATTTGTCAGTCCTTATTGTGATCAACTATCATTTGTCAGTCCTTATTGTGATCATTGACTCTCATTTGTCAGTCCTTATTGTGATCATTGACTATCATTTGTCAGTCCTTATTGTGATCAGCGACTTTCATTTGTCAGTCCTTATTGTGATCAGTGACTATCATTTGTCAGTCCTTATTGTGATCATTGACTATTATTTCTCAGTCCTTATTGTGATCATTGACTATCATTTGTCAGTCCTTATTGTGATCATTGACTCTCATTTGTCAGTCCTTATAGTGATCATTGACTATCATTTGTCAGTCCTTATTGTGATCAGCGACTATCATTTGTCAGTCCTAATTGTGATCAGCAACTATCATTTGTCAGTCCTTATTGTGATCAGTGACTATCATTTGTCAGTCCTTATTGTGATCATTGACTATTATTTCTCAGTCCTTATTGTGATCATTGACTATCATTTGTCAGTCCTTATTGTGATCATTGACTCTCATTTGTCAGTCCTTATAGTGATCATTGACTATCATTTGTCAGTCCTTATTGTGATCATTGACTATCATTTGTCAGTCCTTATTGTGATCAGTGACTATCATTTGTCAGTCCTTATTGTGATCATTGACTATTATTTCTCAGTCCTTATTGTGATCATTGACTATCATTTGTCAGTCCTTATTGTGATCATTGACTATCATGTGTCAGTCCTTATTATGATCAGCGACTATCATTTGTCAGTCCTTATTGTGATCAGCAACTATCATTTGTCAGTCCTTATTGTGATCAACTATCATTTGTCAGTCCTTATTGTGATCATTGACTATCATTTGTCAGTCCTTATTGTGATCAGCGACTATCATTTGTCAGTCCTTATTGTGATCAGCAACTATCATTTGTCAGTCCTTATTGTGATCAGCGACTATCATTTGTCAGTCCTTATTGTGATCAGCGACTATCATTTGTCAGTCCTTATTGTGATCATTGACTATCATTTGTCAGTCCTTATTGTGATCAGCGACTATCATTTGTCAGTCCTAATTGTGATCAGCAACTATCATTTGTCAGTCCTTATTGTGATCATTGACTATCATTTGTCAGTCCTAATTGTGATCAGCAACTATTATTTCTCAGTCCTTATTGTGATCATTGACTATCATTTGTCAGTCCTTATTGTGGTCAGCGACTATCATGTGTCAGTCCTTATTGTGATCAGCGACTATCATTTGTCAGTCCTTATTGTGATCAGCGACTATCATTTGTCAGTCCTTATTGTGATCAGCGACTATCATTTGTCAGTCTTTATTGTGATCAGTGACTATCATTTGTCAGTCCTAATTGTGATCAGCGACTATCATTTGTCAGTCCTTATTGTGATCAGCGACTATCATTTGTCAGTCCTTATTGTGATCAGCAACTATCATTTGTCAGTCCTTATTGTGATCAGCGACTATCATTTGTCAGTCCTTATTGTGATCAGCAACTATCATTTGTCAGTCCTTATTGTGATCATTGACTATTATTTCTCAGTCCTTATTGTGATCAGTGACTATCATTTGTCAGTCCTTATTGTGATCAGCGACTATCATTTGTCAGTCCTTATTGTGATCAGCGACTATCATTTGTCAGTCCTTATTGTGATCAGCGACTATCATTTGTCAGTCCTTATTGTGATCAGCGACTATCATTTGTCAGTCCTGATTGTGATCAGCGACTATCATTTGTCAGTCCTTATTGTGATCATTGACTATTATTTGTCAGTCTTTATTGTGATCAGCGACTATCATTTGTCAGTCCTTATTGTGATCAGCGACTATCATTTTTCAGTCCTTATTGTGATCATTGACTATTATTTGTCAGTCCTTATTGTGATCATTGACTATCATTTGTCAGTCCTTATTGTGATCAGCGACTATCATGTGTCAGTCCTTATTGTGATCATTGACTATCATTTGTCAGTCCTAATTGTGATCAGCGACTATCATTTGTCAGTCCTTATTGTGATCAGCGACTATCATGTGTCAGTCCTTATTGTGATCAGCGACTATCATTTGTCAGTCCTAATTGTGATCAGCGACTATCATTTGTCAGTCCTTATTGTGATCAGTGACTATCATTTGTCAGTCCTTATTGTGATCAACTATCATTGGTCAGTCCTTATTGTGATCAGTGACTATCATTTGTCAGTCTTTATTGTGATCAACTATCATTTGTCAGTCCTTATTGTGATCATTGACTCTCATTTGTCAGTCCTTATTGTGATCATTGACTATCATTTGTCAGTCCTTATTGTGATCAGCGACTTTCATTTGTCAGTCCTTATTGTGATCAGTGACTATCATTTGTCAGTCCTTATTGTGATCATTGACTATTATTTCTCAGTCCTTATTGTGATCATTGACTATCATTTGTCAGTCCTTATTGTGATCATTGACTCTCATTTGTCAGTCCTTATAGTGATCATTGACTATCATTTGTCAGTCCTTATTGTGATCAGCGACTATCATTTGTCAGTCCTAATTGTGATCAGCAACTATCATTTGTCAGTCCTTATTGTGATCAGTGACTATCATTTGTCAGTCCTTATTGTGATCATTGACTATTATTTCTCAGTCCTTATTGTGATCATTGACTATCATTTGTCAGTCCTTATTGTGATCATTGACTCTCATTTGTCAGTCCTTATAGTGATCATTGACTATCATTTGTCAGTCCTTATTGTGATCATTGACTATCATTTGTCAGTCCTTATTGTGATCAGTGACTATCATTTGTCAGTCCTTATTGTGATCATTGACTATTATTTCTCAGTCCTTATTGTGATCATTGACTATCATTTGTCAGTCCTTATTGTGATCATTGACTATCATGTGTCAGTCCTTATTGTGATCAGCGACTATCATTTGTCAGTCCTTATTGTGATCAGCAACTATCATTTGTCAGTCCTTATTGTGATCAACTATCATTTGTCAGTCCTTATTGTGATCAACTATCATTGGTCAG